AACACATAAATAAACAGTAAGAAAAGAGTTGAGATAGCTCAGTTAGTGAAAATAATACAAATCCTTGTTCTTTCCAGTTTTAGCTGCATGGACCTTGGGCAAATCAGCTGAAATTTTTTGAGCCTAATTTCTCATCTGTAAATAATTTCTTATCTGTAAAATGGTAATAAAATGTTTGATTCCAGTATAGTTACAAAGAATCTAAATAAAAGTGTCTAGTACATCAATGGTCAACAAATGGATATTTTCCCATCTTTTATTGAATACACACTTTAAATGAGGATAAGCAGTTGAATATATTTGCTAAATGTTACCTTCTAACATTTCAACAAGCAGCAGCAGAAGCTCTTCACTCTATTAGGGTGTGTTGATTATCAGGATGAAAAGAAAGGCCTTCTGCTAATTAAGATGCCTTTTTTTAAAAAGACTTATTTATTTATTTGAAAATGAGAATTAACAGAGGGGGAGAGGCAGAGGCAGAGAGGGAGAGAGGTCTTCCACCCACTGGTTCACTCCCCAAATAACCACAACAACCAAGGCTGGACCAGGCTGAAGCCAGGAGCCAAGACCTTCATCCAGGTCTTCCACATGGGTGCAGGGGCCCAAGGTGTTATGCAATTCTGCACTGCTTTCCCAGGTACATTAGCAAGGAGCTGGATCAGAAGTGGAGGAGCCAGGACTTGAACTGGTACCCACAGATATGCTGGTGCTGTGGGCAGCTGCTTTACTTACTATGCCAAAGTGCTGGCTCTAAGATATCTTACTTTGTTGGTTTAGTGACTTTTACACTACCATTTGGTTAATACCACTGTCATTGGACCCAACCTGGCAGAATTGCTATTTGAACACATGGGGATTTTTTCTTTAGGCTAGGAACCCCTTGAAGGAAAAGAAACAATTTTATATATTATAGAAATTCCACATGCATATAGCATTATGACCAGCACATACAAGGAACTCAGTATTTGATGAATGAACAATTCAGATGGTACTTAAATTAATTGCTTTAGATTTATCTTCCAGGTAATAGTTAGCTAAGCACATTAGAATAGATACTCTCTAGGGAATGGGTAAGGGAGGTGATAAGAAGGGTGGGAGGGAGAGAGACATACCTGGGACAGAGTGAGGATTTTTACAGAATCATCAGGGTGAGTCAGTCCCTTCTGCAGATCAACCCTGAGGTTCCGGGCCACGTGGACTGGCTCCATAGCTTGAAGCAATCGCTCCAGAATCGATACACACAAAGTTGTCTGTTCCCTAAATAAGATACCATAGATCTCATTGGTTCATATCCTGCCAGATATGAATAATGACCTAGTAATACAGTCCTCTTTGAAACAGTATCCGCTACTGTTTTCTATTTTTTTTTCCGCTATTGTTTTCTGAGCACCTATTACGTGCCATGCCCATGCTGGGGCTTCAGAGGATATACTAAATCACCACTGTGATTTCCCTAGCTCCAGGAATTCAGTAAAATCACCATTTTGTAATCCTCACAATGAAATTTACGTGGACAATCTGGGTCTCTGACATAGGTGATAGAGACCTAGGACTTGAGCAGGGTCCAAGCCATCTTGATAGAGACCCAGGGGGTGCATCAACAGGAAGCTAGACATGAACGTGGAACTGAGACTCAAACTCAGGCACTCCAACACAAGATGTGGATGTCCCAAGTGGCATTTAAACCTCTGTGCCAAACACTCACCCCCAAGAAAGAATACTTCTATGTAAGGATTTGCATGAATGTTCATAACAAATGTTAACTGTAATATGCCCCAAATGAAACAGCTGCAATATTCATCAACAGGGAACTGATTAACAAATCATTGTAAATCCATACAATGGAATACTACATGGCAACAAGAAGGAATGAACTATTCACTCTCACCACATGGATAAATCTCCAAAGACTTATGTTGTGGGAAAGAAACCAAACAACAGTACATACTGTACGGCTTCACACATGTAACACCCACCCACCTCAGCAAAAGAAGGGCAAACTCATCTTTGAGGACAGAAAGCAAACCAGTGGTTGCCTGGCTGAGGCCGGGAGGGATTACCAAAGGGTGTGAGGAAACTTCTGGGAGTGAAAGATATGCTCACTATCTCGGTTGTGCTAATGATTTCAAGAGTATGCACACACATCAGAATGTCAAATCATACATTAATGTGCAGTTTACTGGATGTAAATTATGCCTCAGTAAAGCTGCCCCACCAAAGAATGCACTGGTTGATAAAATTGTTTAGTGTACAAATTTCTGATCTTATGTGATCCTTTGATACTAACAAGCCCAAGAATTAATAACTTCCAGTCTTGTTTGAATTCCATGTGTGGAGCAGGATTTAATCTCCCTCACAAAAACGGTCAATTCCACATTTATACCTACCTGATTAGATCCTGCACCAATATATGGACAACCAAAAATATCCATGGAAAATGTATATATTATGAAGATCCATGGACTTCAAAATTGTCTGTAGCAGAATAAATTTATCATTCAAATGAATTTCCCCCCAAACTTTCTGATGTACCCCCATACTATCCAGAGAATTATTCCCACCAATTGTAACTGGCATGTTTTATGTATGCAGTTTGGAATCACCCTGTCTTGAGTCAGAAGTGCTATCACAGGCCGTCGCCGCGGCTCACTAGGCTAATCCTCCACCTTGCGGCGCCGGCACACTGCGTTCTAGTCCCGGTCGGGGCGCCGGATTCTGTCCCAGTTGCCCCTTTTCCAGGCCAGCTCTCTGCTGTGGCCCGGGAGTGGCAGTGGAGGATGGCCCAAGTGCTTGGGCCCTGCACCCCATGGGAGACCAGGATAAGTACCTGGCTCCTGCCATTGGATCAGTGCGGTGCGCCGGCTGCGGTGGCCATTGGAAGGTGAACCAACAGCAAAGGAAGACCTTTCTCTCTGTCTCTCTCTCTCTCAATGTCCACTCTGCCTGTCAAAAAAAAAAAAAGTGCTATCGCTGCGCCACAAGGTCAGCCTGGAATTACCCTGTCTTTAAACACCATTAGAACTGTTTCTCCTCCTCCATTCAAACTGTCTTCCCCATGGACCTTATTCCTCAAACTCCTCAGTTTAGTTTCTGCTGCATCTGTTCTCAACTTGCAGCGTGACCTGTGAAAGTCTTGTTGGACTCGGTGCCCTCTCCAAACTCTGTGAGCCTCACCTTTTATCGGGCAGTTATAGTATTACATGCTTACCCCAAAAGACACGTGCAGATGAGCAAAATCTGGTCCCTGCTTTCAAAGGGTTCACCAACCAGAAAGAAACACACATAGAACTATAACATAGGGCAACTGTGTCAAGTATCATTAACAGAAATATTCATATTGTCCTACAGGGGAGCTGAGGGGCACTCGCAACGAGAGTAAAGAAGAACTCTTTGGAGGCTGACACTTCAGCTGGGCTTGAAGGATGAGGAGACTGTGAGAGAAGGCAGGGCTGGTTTTGTTTGGACTTCTATGAAGTTAGGAAAGTGCCTAGTCATGCTCCAGAGAAATGCAGTGGTATCACATGGTAACTGGAACAGATGAAATCGAAGCAGAGGAAAGGAAAAGATGAGGCTGGAAAAGTAGGATGGAAATCTACTACAAACGCCCAAATGCCAGACTAAGAAGTCATGGCTCCACACAGGCAGAGGGAAACCATGGAAAAGAGTCAAGTGACTGAGGCACTGTGGCTGCAGGATGAGAAGCACCAGTTAGAAAAAGAACCTTAGAGATAAAGAGCAGACAGACTCGCACAAAAGATCTAGCAAGAGGGAGAGAATGACGCTTGCCTTAAAGAGAGGACAAATTTGTCATAGCACGTCTGAATATTAACGACTTAATGAGGGGAAACCAACTACCGAAAGAGGAGAAAGCTTCGATGTTCCCAGCCCAGGAAACCTTCTGAAATCATCCAGTGTCGACCCAGTGGCTCACTGTCTCTTCAAGTAGGAAGCTCACTTACACTGCCAGGTCACAAACATTTTAAAATGCTTTTAAAGGATGCCACACACGGTCAGTGCTTTTCATCAAACACTACAGATGTGGGGGCTACCATTTTAAGTCCCACTTCCATATTCATTGTTTTTATTTTATTTTTATAGATAGTCCCATGTTATACAAACCTGTCTGGGGGCGAGGGATTACAACATAAACTTCGGCAATTTTCCCTTTTCATTCAACAACATATATTAGAGACCTTTCTCTGCCTATTTACATGTATATATGGATGTGGATCTATCTATACCTAAATACTTTCAACAACTGCACAGTGTGCCCTAGTAACAGCTCATACTTTCTTCAGCATCCCCTTTTCATGGATACGGAAGTTCCCAGTTTTCAGCTGTCACACACCTTCCTAAGTTTTGTGCGACCATAACCGCATGCTGACTGGGTCAAAAGGTAGGCGAGTTTAAAATGTTGACAGATAGGATGGATCTCCTTTGAAGAGGAGGAGAAACGCCAAGAACCTGTGCACGTGGCTGCGGAGTCCTTGCAGGCGAGCAACCCCGCTTTCCTACTCCGATTCCTACTTCAAGGGTAAGGCCAGGCAACGAAAGAAAATTGCCCAGGGAACGTCTCTCAGAAGCTGGACTTGAACTCCGCCTCTCGCTCTCGGTCCTTCCCTCTCTGCAACTTCGTCTATTTCCTACCTCTGCGACTGGGAAAAAAGCACTCTCCTCGCTTGCACCCACGCCGGGCTTCCTAACTGGGAGCCCTCGCCCCGGCTCCAGCCTGGGGTTTCTCTCACCGTTGGTTCTCACTGAGCAGGCTGAAGAGCGGTCCGAGGCGCAGGTCCGCCGCTCGCTCGCGAAGCTCGCTGAGCGGCACGGCCTGAAGCATCGCCTGAAGCGCGCGCAGCTCCTCCAGGGGCGCTTCCAGCCGCTCTACCTCCCTCAACAGCTCCAGCGCCTGCGCCGCCATCTTGCCGGCTTCTGCCCGCCCACCTGCCTGACTCCCGGGGCGCAGCCTAGAGTCTCGCGAGATCTGTTGGGCGTGCCCTCTGCCTTCCGGGTTTTGGCTTCGGTTGCTAGGGTCCGCCTCCCACGCTTTGGGTGTCTGTAGTGCCGGGTAGGCTACCGTAGTCCGGCAAGCATCGCGAGAAGTCGGTTACGGCCGAGTCAAAGGTCGCCGGCGGTTTCTGGTCTGGCGGAGGGTGGTTGTCTGTGGGGCGCTTCTCGGTTGGTCACGAGATGGGCTTTGCAGTTTGTTTGCGTGTTTGGCACCCGGTCAGAAGCCCGGCGTGCGGAGCAGAGGATGTGGACCCACCGGCAGTTGAACGGCCTTGCGGGAGACCCCGGACCCCCAAAGCAGTCTCTAGTCCGCGGAGGGAGCGGCAGTGGAGACCACCCCAGGCCGAGCGGAGGCCTTGGGGGGAGCCTTGATCCCGCCTGGGGGGCAAGCAGGATGGGAATTCTAGAGAAGCTGGGCGAAGGCGTGAGTGGTGCGGACTTGGGCATCTTTTTAGCCATGAGTCGACCGTGCGCACGATTCAGGAATGCCATTCGGGGCAACATGGAGAATGGCCATACGCTTCAAGAGGCTGTGCATTCCCTGGGATGAAAACGGCCTCAACCCGAGTGGATGAGCGGACCAGGAAGGCGCCCTCCGAGGCGAAGATCATTTGCAGCCAGATCAACTGCATTTGTAGGCATCTCGTGGAAATCATTGGCCGGGGCACTCCGGATAATGCCAACAGGGGATGGTTGGAAAAGCCAAAATCGCTACTGTCTGCGGAATAAGAGGGTGCTGGTAATTACATGCTGAGTCGGCACCCAGTTATACCAAGGAGCTGGAGAGACTGCCCCGAACCAAAGGCTGGTCGTTGGTCTTCGGAACTATGAAGATCTGCCTTGCATGCCTGCAAAGCCCCAAAACTCAAGAGAAATTTGCATAGCTAACAATGTAATGACAGGGCTAGGGCCACGGCTGATGAATTGCTTTGTCAGACGCTTTGCTAGGAAGCGGAAGTGTCTTTCAAGAATGTATAGTTCCAAGGAGTGAAACAGGTAATTTCAGTAAACATGGAGGTTGTGGACTGGCCATCTGCAGGCCCGATCGGGTTAACAGATGCGTTTTGTTTGGATCTGCTCAGTTTAAAACGATTTTGAATTAGTGTCAAGCATTTCCCCTTTTTTAAGTTCTAATTCACATACAATAAAAGTCACCTGTAGAAGTGTTCAGTTGGTTGGAATTTGTAATACTTAATGTACCCATAGCCACCATAAGATGCAGAACAGTTCTTTCAGTTTACTTACGTCCCTTTGCAATCAGTCCCCCCATTGTCATTGTTTTTATTTATTTTTAAAATACTTATTAGCGAGTGTTTGCTCTTATTCATTGGTCCCTTCCCCCAAGTGCCCCCAAGGGCCAAAGCCAAGAGCCGGAACTCAGTCCAGGTCTCCTGTGTGGATGGCAGGAACCCAGTTACTGGAGCCTTCAACACTGCCCCCCAGGGTCTGCGTTAGCAGGAAGCTGGAGCCAGATACTGAACCCAGGCACTCTGGTGCGAACTTGTGCCATCTTAACTGCCAGGCCAAATGCCTGCCCCTGTTACTGCTTTTAAATTCAGGTGTTTCACATTGAAAAGTGGGATTAAGAATTTGGAAACCTTGGCAACGGTGCACTCTGCACTCCCAAAGGGCTACAGGTGTGTTGCTGCTTTTACTGTTTGTTTGCAGCTCCCCATGGTTCACGTTAACTGCTTCAACCTCAGTGTTTGCCAGGTGCCTTGGGAGGGGAGGACGGTGGGAAAGCCTACCCAGAACAGTTGACCTGGGAAGGGGAATGGGTTCACCAGGGAGAAAAGTAGGGCGCAAGCGTGTTCCAAGGCGAGGAGGATTTCAAGGGAGATCCAGATGGGAGTCTGGGGAGCGGAGAGGCAGCCGTGTGCCTCACTCGTTTGTTTTCGTTGATGGGCTGGGCTCTTGGAGTCGGATGAGTTTTGTTTGTGTGCGGCGATTTCTGAAGGTCTTGTGTTGTAAGAAAAGTTTTCTATTTGTACATTTTCGAGGATTTTATGATTTTGTTTGAGTGGGAAGCGAAAATAATATATTCTTTGCAAGGGTTGTAGGTCTACCTGGGCTGTGAGTTCCCAGGGAGAGGAGTGCCCCGAGGAAATTCCTCTTTGTGGGCCCCCTCTGCAGTCTTGGGCAGGCTGGGCTGGCTGGGCCCGGCGCCGGGGGCTGGCAGCGCGGTTTGGGGCGGGGCGGAGCAGGCAACAGGTGGTGTTAGGAGAGGGCAGTTAAGGCCCGCAGTGCCCGCCCACCAGCCGCACCTCGCGGGAGACAGTAATTCGAGGCGGCTGGGTCTCTGAACTACCAGCGGCGCCATGGAGTGGCTGAGCTCATGGTACCCTCAGCCAGGCTGTCCGCGGCCGTCTGTCCTTATATGTCTGCTGGTGAGTGCCCCACGCTGTGACGCTGCAGGAACCCTCGTCCTGGGGACTGAAGGTGAAAGGAAGGGAAGACAGTGCACTTCTCTACCCTGCTTCTGGGGTTTTGAACTGGGAGCAGGCAGGTAAAATACTTGGAGGCAGATTGTGGGGGTGGTTCTCCAGGCTACCACACACCTCTGCTCCCTGCCTTGGGACGGCTGGCTGGGCTGTTTGCTTCCTGGAGTGGGGGAGAAGAGGTGTCCTGGTGAGTCCTGAGAACTCAGTGTGCAGGGTAGGATCGTTTTCTCTGCATGCTGCAGTTGCCGTCTCGCTTTTCTGTAATTTCCTAGGGGACTTGTTTTCTCTTCTCTGAAACACCTTAAAGCGGAAAGTGTTGAGTGCAGAGTAATTCCCGTAGTGGAGGGGGAGGTGGAAAGCCCTGTGATAGAGGACCGGAAGCCCGCTGCTGCTCACTCGCTGGGTGATTTCAACCCTTCACTGGCCTTTATTTCCTCTTCTGTGAAATTTAAGTGTTTTTGTTTGTTTTCTCTAAGTTCTAGGAAAATATGTAAACTCTGTTTTCTTCTTTTTAAAGATTTATTTATTTGAAAAGCAGAGCTACAGAGAGGCAGAGGTAGAGAGAGAGGTCTTCTGTCTGCTGGTTCACTCCTCAAATGGTGGCAACAGCGGGAGCTGGGCCGATCTGAAGCCAGGAGCCAGGAGCTTCTTCTGGGTCTCCCACACGGGTGCAGGGGCCCAAGGACTTGGGTCATCTTCTGCTTTCCCATGCCATAGAGAGCTGCATTGGAAGTGGAGCAGCTGGGTCTCGAACCGGCGCCCATATGGGATGCCGGCACTGCAGGTGGCAGCTTTACCCACTACACCATAGCCCCGGCCCCGCTGTAGTCTTTTTGGTGCATTTACAGATTGTTTGACACTAGGTGGTTGAGAAGTTCAGTGCCACAGGGCTAGGTGATTAGTGAAACCTCTTTATCTTCTCACAGGCAGTCCAGTCAACCATAACCTCTTGAAGAACATGCAGATTTGCGAGAACCAAAAAGGGGAAAAGGCAATAAATAAGAAATAGGATGGGGCCAGCGCTGTGGTGTAGCGAGTAAAGCTGCCGCCTGCAGTGCCAGCATCCCATATAGGCACTGATTTGAGTCCTGACTGCTTCACTTCCTATCCAGCTCTCTGCTATGGCCTGGGAAAGCAGTGGAAGATGGCCCGAGTCCTTGGGCCCCTGTACCTGCGTGGGAGACCCGGAAGAAACTGTTGGCTCCTGGCTTTAGATCGGTGCAACTCTGGCCATTGCGGCCATTTGGGGAGTGAACCAGCAGATGGAAGGCCTCTCTCTCTCTCTCTCTCTCTCTCTGCCTCTCCCTCTCTCTCTGTGTGTAACTGACTTTCAAATAAATAAATAAATCTTAAAAAAAAGAAATAGGAAATAACTAAAAAGTTACATAAAATATTTTGTAAGAATGTAAAATTTTAAAAAAGATATAGTAGAGGAAATACAAAAAACTGTTATAAAAAGGCTTTTCTTTAAAATGTATTCTTTTCCAGTTATAATAAATGTTAAGGAATCTTGTGATGTTTGCATTTCTCATCAATTTACATTCATATAATATCTATTGTAGTTTGCTGTTGATATCAAAATGGATTTTCATGCTTCTGATACGCTGTTATTTAGGTCCACGAACATTTCTCAAGCATATACTCTTCGCCAGGAGTTGTAAAGTGCTGAGAATACAGAAATGAGTAAGAATGAAGAGTTCCTGCCCAATGCGGGAGGCATATAGGAACAACTCCTTGTATTTCAGTGTGGTCAGAAGCGTGTGTAACGGCGAACTGTCCTCTACTCACTGGGTACCAGTAGCATCTCTTCTGCAGTCCTCTCAGTCAAAATTGTCTCTAGACATTGCTAAATGTCCCTTGGGGACAAAATCACCCCAAACTGGGATTCACCAGATTGGATGAAACTTGAAGTGGCCCACTGTATCAACCCCTAGTCATGCTCATCGCAATGCATAGACCCCAGAAGACTCTCAGAGGCAAGTCTTGGTTCTGTCACAGAGCTTCAGTGGGTTGTGCCTTGGCTGTTACCTCACCTGTTAAATGAAGGATTTTCTTAGGTGATGCCTGAGAGCCCATTGGCCTGTTGATGTTTTGACTGTAGGCCCATCTGAGGTTTTCTGTGTCCCCCTGATGCCTGCCGGCTGAAATGCCCCCGTTCAGCACTAGGCGTGACTTTTTGGCTGGAGGGCAGGCTTGCACGGTGCTTTGCTCCCCTTCTAGTCACTGTAGCACCTTCGCTCCTGTCTGTGGGCTGCCACCGCACAAGGAGTGCCATTGTAACGGTTGTGCTGGAAGCCACCTTAGAGTCAGGTAGATGCACACCTTACAGTGTTTCAGTGTGTCTAGTTCCCTGCCAAAGGCACTGCTTGCACCAGGTAACCCAACCCTCAAGTCTATTTAGTCTTCGTAACAGCATTTTGCTGGTATATTCAATAGACTGTACTTACTTAGAACCTGCTGTATGCCGTGAACTGTGCTTGGAGGTACAGTAGGAGCAAGACACAGTCCTTTATTGAATTGATAATTACACATCGCCTTTCCTATCTTGTACAAACCATGGTGTCTCTGAAGTAGATAGCACGAGTGTCATGATTTCCAGTCTCTGATGTTTATGGAAGAAAGAGAGGAAGTAACCTGCCAAAGGCTACAAGCAGCTAGCAGTACTGGCCTAGGATTTTTAAAAAGTTTCCATTCTTTTTTTTTTTTATTTTATTTGAAAGGGAGAGATAACAGACATATAGCTTCCATCAGCTGTTTCACTTCCCCAAATGCCTACACTAGCCAGGGCTGGGCCAGGCCAAAGCCAGGGGCTGGGAATTCAACCTGGGTCTCTCTTTTGGGTGGCAGGGTCCCAGCCACTTGAGCCGTCACCTATGTGTTTTCAGGAAGCTGGAATTGGAAACAGAGTTAGGACTTGAACCTAAGCACTCTGATAAGAGATGTATCTTAACTGCCCTACCAAATGCCTACCCCTGGCCCTGGGGTTTAAATCCTGCTCTATGGTGCTTTTATTTTCCTCTGCTATGATCTGGCTGAATTGTCATTAAAAAATAATAATAGTAAAAGCTTTTCTGAAAAGCCTGGTACTTTTTTTTTTTTCTTGTATGATCCCTAGTTTACTTCAGAGGACTAGTATAGTGTATGAATTGGAGGCACTGCTGGCGGTGGTGGGAGGGAGGGAATGAGAAACCCAACCCAGACAAGCCTGAAGTCAAACTGAAGCTAAAGACATAAAAACACTACTCAGGCCCTGCCAGGAAGTGGGAGTCAGGACCCAGGCAATAACGTAAAAATGAGAGGGAGGACAGAGGTTCGTTTCAGCAGACACGAGCCCTGGGCAGAGAGGCCAGAGAAGCAGGCCCTTGTTCAGCCTCCCCTAAGCCACAGTGTGACTCCTTGCAACTTCCCCCATCCCTGTTAAAAGCTCCATTATATTACCCAAGCAGAAAACCCTGGAATGGAAGGTGTCCTCTGGTTTGTTTTCTTGTATTTTACATATTTTCCATTAAAATGCAGGAAAAATTTTACCTTCTCACATGATTCTTAGCTGAGAATTTGCTTCAGTTTGTTTATTTGAATTATTTGAATGGCAGAGTGAGAGATCTTCCATCCACTGATTTACTCCCCAAATGCCTATAACAGCCTTCGCTGAACCAAGCCATTGTCAGGAACCTGGTCCATCCAGGTCTTCCCTGTGGGTGGCAGGGACCCAGGTACCTGAACCATCTCTTGCTGCCTGCAAAGTCTATGCTTTAGCAGGAAACTGAGTTGGAAGCTGCTTGGGCCCAGATACTCCAATAATGGGATGCTGGCAGCCTAAGTAGCATCTTTATTTATTTATTTATTTATTTATTTATTTTTATTTTTTGACAGGCAGAGTGGACAGTGAGAGAGACAGAGAGAAAGGTCTTCCTTTGCTGTTGGTTCACCCTCCAATGGCCGCCGCGGCCGGCGCGCTGTGGCCGGTGCACCGCGCTGATCCGATGGCAGGAGCCAGGTACTTATCCTGGTATCCTGGTCTCCCATGGGGTGCAGGGCCCAAGCACTTGGGCCATCCTCCACTGCACTCCCTGGCCACAGCAGAGAGCTGGCCTGGAAGAGGGGCAACCGGGACAGAATCGGGCGCCCCGACCGGGACTAGAACCCGGTGTGCTGGTGCCGCAAGGCGGAGGATTAGCCTAGTGAGCCGCGGCACCGGCCCTAAGTAGCATCTTAATCATAGTACCAAGTGCCTGCCCCCTTAGTTAAGGATTTTAATGTCTTTTTCCTGGATCATTGAAATAGCTTTCTACATAGGCTGCCTTTTGGTTACTCCCCGTCTGCCCACTTCCATTTCTGTATTCTATGTGAGCATATTATCACTTGCCTACTTAAGCTTGCTTTTTTTTTTTTTTTTTTGTTAAGATTGATTTATTTATTTGAAAGTCAGAGTTACAGAGAGAGAGAGACACGTCTTCTATCTGCTGGTTCACTGCCCAATTGACCGCAACAGCCAGAGCTGTGCCGATCCAAAGCCAGGAGCTTCTTCTGGGTCTCCCACATGGGTGCAGGGGCCCAAGGACTTAGGCCATTTTCTACTGTTTTCCTAGACCATAGCAGAGAGCTAGATTGGAAGTGAAGCAGCTGGGTCTCGAACCAGCGCCCATATGGGATGCCGGCACTGCAGATGGCAGCTTTACTCGCTATGCCACAGCAGCAGCCCCATATTTAAGCTTTCAAAAACACCCTGTCACCTAAGTACAAACCCCAAATCTTGACTTGACCCTTTGCTTTAGATTCCGGTTAGCCTCATTTCCTCGTATTCACCCTACCCCGTACACTGAGGCAATGCAGACTGGATATGAAGTGAAATTACTCCCTCAGGAGTGCTGTAGCATAACCAGTAAAGCCACTGCCTGTAATGCCAGCATCCCATATGCGTGCCAGTTTGAATCCCGGCTGCTCCACTTCCAATCCAGCTCCCTGCTAATGCACCTGGAAAAGCATCAGAAGATGGCCCAAGTGCTTGGGGCCCCTGTACCCACATGGGAGACCCAGAAGAAGCTCCTGGCTTCAGAATGGCCCAGCTCTGGCTGTTGTGGCCATCTGCGGAGTGAGCCAACAGATGAGTCCTCCCCCGCCCAATTCTTTCAAATAAATAAACCTTAAAAGAAATTACTCTCTGCAATATTGAAAGATGGGCCGGCGCCGTGGCTCACTAGGCTAATCCTCCGCCTAGTGGCGCCGGCACACCGGATTCTAGTCCCGGTCGGGGCGCCGGATTCTGTCCCGGTTGCCCCTCTTCCAGGCCAGCCCTCTGCTGTGGCCAGGGAGTGCAGTGGAGGATGGCCCAGGTGCTTGGGCCCTGCACCCCATGGGAGACCAGGAAAAGCACCTGGTTCCTGGCTCCTGCCATCGGATCAGCGCGGTGCACCGGCCACAGCGCGCCGGCCGTGGCGGCCATTGGAGGGTGAACCAACGGCAAAGGAAGACCTTTCTCTCTCTCTCTCTCTCTCTCACTGTCCACTCTGCCTGTCAAAAAAAAAAATATATTGAAAGATGTAAGAGCTTATAACTCATAATCCCCAGGAGGCTAGCAGTTCAGTAGATGCCAGCAGGTATCACCTCCAATAGCAGTTTTGTCCAATAAAGATAGATTTCAAGTCATCCAGACTTGAGTCTTGATTGTGGCTTCATCGGTTAAAGCTTTGTCATTTTTTAGCAAGTTTCTTGATTTCTGAGCCTCCATTTTTTTCCTATCTGCAAAAATGCAGAGGAAGATAATTGATGCATGAAAACTTTGTTTAAGCACTAATGCTCAATGCAGATCTTGGTAACGTTTTATAGATGGGGAGTGGGGATGAAAAGATAATCCCAGCATTGGTTCCAGTCTGCTTGAGCTGTAAGGCTTTGGATTGGTGATGTTTCTACTGACTCGTTCTTTTCTTTGCCACCACGCAGATCCTGACCACTTCCTTCCTGACGTACCCCACGCTCAGGACCATTGGTCTGCAGCTGCACTCAGCCATCACCGGCAGCTATGTCTCTGGCACACACTCCGTTGTCTTTGTCAACTGTCCGAACGAGCAAATTGCCAAAGACATTGCCAGGTAAGGTGAAGGTGCTTCCCCGGAAGGCTCAGGGAACTACAGATGCCCCAGAGGATCACTTTCGGTCCTCTCTCTCAGTTCTGACAACCCCATCTGTCCAGTGAGAAAACACACACCTATCTGCTTGAAGTGATAGGAGGATCACAACTAAATGGTTCCTAACTTATCCTGCAGCTGGGCCTGAAGATGCCGAGTTACATGTAACAGCATAAAACGGAAGGGAGCCCCCCAGGAATAGGTGACTTGCTCAAGGTGTAAAGGTTAGTATCGCCCTGCAGGTTGACAATTCACATCTCCTAATTCTTGGCCCAGCTCTCTTTGTGGAGCCATTCTCTTTGCTCAATCCCAGAAGTATTTATGACAACAAGCAAGGAAGAGGCCATTCCAGGTACTGCATAATTTTCTAGAAGCAGCTGTGGTGTGGTGGGAAGAGGTGGACTAGACTTGGAATTAGACCAGGGTTTGAATCTTGGCTTTGCCACCTGCTGTGTGACCTTGGGCAAGTTATTTCCCTTCTCTCAGCATGAGTTTTCTAGACTTAAAAGGGCACAATATCACCTGCCTTACAGAGTTGTTGGGGGATTAAATGATATGAATATGTACAGGGCGGACCCATTAAATGCAGTCTGTAGATGCTGTGTCAGAATGTCTTCCCTTCTTGCCTACAGGTGGCAGTCTTGAAGAGGGTTATGGGACAGGAAGGTAGACTTGGCACCTTACTCCCTCCTTGCTTTGTAACTCAGCGTTCTTTATTTATATGAACTTATCTTTTCATTCTGTTTTCTATGAACTTTGCATTTTTAAAAGAATTTATTTGAAAGGCACTGAGAGAGAGAGGTAGAGAGGTAGAGGGATTGATCTTCCATCTTCTCATTCAACCCCAAATGGCCACAATGGCTGGGGCTGGGCCAAACCAAAGCCAAGAGCCAGGAACTCAATCCAGGTCTCCCACATGGTTGAGAGGGACCCAGCTACTTGCATGACCACCTGCTGCTCCCCAAGGTGCACATACAAGAAGCTGGAATCAGGAGCCAGAGCTGAAACTTGAACCAGGACTGATAGGGGATGTGGGTGTCATGAACTCCAGACCAAACACCCATCTCCATGCTTATTTTAAAATATTGATTTTGAATGTTCTCTTAACCGCTCCTTCTCCTGTGTATTCTTTCGCTTGCTAAAGGTTGTCTGTTTTTCCTCAAGTGCTTCGTGATTCTTCATCATAACCTCTCACCTTTTTCATTATGTTTTGTGGAGAGATGCGGGAGTAGCTGCAAGGAATTTGCATTTTCCATCAGTCTCTTTGGTGAGAGTGTGGATTGGGGGTCATACTACTAACTGGGGTACTCTAGAAACCTAGGTACGTGTTCTTGTTTTTGTCTATGGCTGTCACTGCTTGGACACTGTGTTGTCTCTTTGAATAAGGCTCCCACACTCACTGCCTATAGACTGGACCTCCCATCTCATCTGTGAGGCCCTAGGGAGATTAGGGGTGGGGGCCACTGCTCCTGCACTCTCGCCTTTCCCCTTGGTGGTTGTCTCTGAGTTTCTGCTGAGGTGGCCTGTTGCCTTCGTACTGGGCAGTGGCCCCACATGCCCCAGGCCTGTGTCGGGGCTGCTTTTCTTCCTAGGGCTTCCTCGCTGCTGCTGAGACAGAAAGTGTCCTCATCACTGTTCTGGCTCGGCAGAAGAGTGTCTTTTCTGTCATTTCTAGGACCTACTATAACAAGGATGCCGCAGTGTGGGTGTTGGGTCCACCAAGTTGAACTAAAGCCTGAGTGGAGCCTACAGTGCCGTGACAGAACTCTTACCCCAACATGTGCTGTTTAGTATTTTTTATTAGTGATTTGGTTAGGAGAGAGGCAAGCAGGCTTAGCGTCCCAGACTTGTAGAAGGAGAATAAAGGGGTGCATGATGGTGACAGTGCCACAGATGTGAACTGGCAAGAATCCCACCTCAGCTGCAGAATTGGCACTGGGGCCAGGTCCTTTGGTTCCGGTGTGATGTCTTTTTTTCTTTAGTCTTTAGAGTTTGATCTGCCACCCCTCAGTTCAAGTGCAGTTCATTTATGGCTCCTGGCAATAGTCTTTGATCTCTTCATTGACACATTCTTAACTAGAAGAACCTCTTGTAGGAGCTTGGGTAAAACTCATAGTTGAGTCAGGAGACCTGGATTCTAGACTCTTTTGTTGCAACCTCTAGATATGACTTAGACAAGTCTTTCCTCTCTGGGCTTCGGTTTCATATGAAGAGAGGGAGTTGGCTGGCCAGGGTCATAAACACAAATGCCTGCCAGCAGGTGATTTCAGTAAGTCAGGGAGCCAGGGTGCACCATCAAGGATGATGGTGGATGGCTACCATTGTGCTTCCGAGGGCTTGGCAGCAAAGGGTGCAGGGGGAGCTGTGCTCACTGAGAGCAGGTTGTGTGCCTAGACAGAGTAGCTGCTGCTCAGCTCTAGTTTGATGTGGCCTTGCAGGACTGCAGGCCCAATGTGGTAAGACTCATTTTTTTTTAAAGAAGTTTGATAATCCATATTTTTAAAAAAGATTTTTTAAATGTCTTTGATAGGTAGAGTAACAGACGGAGCGAGAGACAGAGAGAAAGGTCTTCCATCTACTGGTTCACTCCCCAAATGGGTGCAGCAGCTCGAGCTGGGCTGATCCGAAGCCAGGAGCCAGGAGCTTCTTCCCAGCCTCCCACGTGGGTGCAGGGGCCCAAGCACTTGGGCCATCTTCCACTGCTTTCCCAGGCCATAGCAGAGAGCTGGATCAGAAGTGGAGCAGCTGGACACAAACCAGCACCCATATGGGATGCTGGCACCGCAGGTGGAGGCTTAGCCTACTACGCCACTGTGCCAATCCCCATAGTTTTTTAATGTGAGATTTATTATATTAATAGAGTCACAATTATTTTAAATGCCATGAGAGCCAAACCATGTATCTGGTCTGTGAGTCACTGGTCTGTAGCCACTACAGTTTCTAGAAGCAGCTCTGTACTTTTCTCTTCTGCTTCCCTAGGCTTGAGTACCTCAAACATGAGTCTCTGGTGGTGCCTGCTTTAAAGCTAAGTTACTGGGGCCAATGCTGTGGTGCAGTGGGTTAACGCACTGGCCTGAAGTGCCAGCATCCCATATGGGCACCGGTTTGAGACCCAGCTGCTCCACTTCCAATCCAGCTCTCCACTATGGCCTGGGAAAGCAGTAGAAGATGGTCCAAGTCCTTGGGCCCCTGTACCCGTGTGGGACCCGTAAGTGGCTCCTGGCTTCAGATCGGCGCAGCTTCAGTCATTGCAGCCAATTGAGGAGTGATCCAGCAGATGGAAGACACCTCTCTCTCTCTGCCTCTCCTTCTCTATGTTAACTCTTTCAAATAAATAAATCTTAAAAAAAAAAAAAAAAAAACTAAGTTACTGGCCGGCGCCGCAGCTCACTAGGCTAATTCTCCACCTTGCGGCGCCGGCACACCGGGTTCTAGTCCCAGTTGGGGTGCCGGATTCTGTCCCGGTTGCCCCTCTTCCAGGCCAGCTCTCTGCTGTGGCCAGGGAGTGCAGTGGAGGATGGCCCAAGATCTTAGGCCCTGCACCCCATGGGAGACCAGGATAAGTACCTGGCTCCTGCCATTGGATCAGCGTGGTGTGCCAGCCACAGCGCGCTGGCCGCAGCGGCCATTGGAGGGTGAACCAAAGGAAAAGGAAGACCTCTCTCTGTCTCTCTCTTACTGTCCACTCTGCCTGTCAAAAAAAACAAAAAAACAAAAAAACAAAAAACTAAGTTACTGGGGCCAGCACTGTGGTGCAGCGGGTTAGTGCCCTGGCCTGAAGCGCTGGCATCCCATATGGATGCTGGTTCTAGACCCGGCCTCTCTACTTCCGATCCAGCTCTCTGCTATGACCTGGGAAAACACAAGATGGTCCTAGTCCTTGGGCTCCTGCACCCATGTGGGAGACCCAGAAGAAGCTCCTGGCTCAAATTGGCACAGCTCTGGCCATTGCAGCCAACTGTGGTGTGAACCATTGGATAGAAGACCTCTCTCTCTCTCTCTCTCTCTCTGTCTGTCTGTCTCTCTCTCTCTGCCTCTCCTCTCTGTGTAACTCTGACTTTCAAATAAATAAATCTTTGAAATTAAAAAAAGTTACCAGTGCTCCTTCTCTCTCTCTCTCTCTCTCTCTCTCTCTCTCTCTTTTGGCCTAGGGGCTTTTCAAATAATAGTCTTCATCCACAGTTTTTGTAATCTTTTTTTTTTAATTAAAGATTTATTTACCTATTTGAAAGGCAGAGTTACAGAGAGGGAGAGGGAGAAGGATTCCATCTGTTGGTTCACTTCCCAAATGGCCACAATGGCCAGGGCTGAGCCAGACCAAAGCCAGGAGCTTTATCTGGGTCTCCCATGTGAGTTCAGGGGGCCCAAGGACTTGGGCCATCTTCTGCTGCTTTCTCAGGTGCATTAGCAGGGAGCTAGATGGGAAGTGGAGCAACTGGGACTCAAACTGACGCCCATATGGGATGCCGGTGCTACAAGCAGCGGCTTTACCTGCTGTGCCACAGAGCCGGCCCCTGGTTCAGTAATCTTTGCCCAAGGTATAAAAGGCTGTAGTGATCGCAGCCTTTTTTCTTACTCCTGGAGAGACTGAGAGGGCTGTGAGGCAGTGGGATTATTTTCTCTAGCGGTGTAACTCACCTCTATGTTTGTGTGCCACCTTCAGATCCAGCAGGAGGCAATTTCTCATGGCATGATTGAGTGACACCTGGAGCAGTTACTTTAACAAATTTGTGCTGTATGTCTCTCTCTTTAATCAGGGATTTATTTAGCTCCTGGAACTTTGCAAATGAACCACAACGGTGGTCAAGTCACATTAACATGGGACCTTAAAATAGAGCACTGTTCAGCCTGGGACTCTGGGGTGGAGAAAGTAGGTCAGTTCTCTTGGCAACAGCCGAGGAAAGGAGGGACCAGTGATCAGGACTCAGATAAGATTGGTTTGTCAGAGTCCAAGCACTTTAGAGAACTGAGGCCAGGCCCCCTTGGCCTTCTGGGACCTGAGGGCCTGCCTGACTCTGAGGGCTGGAAGTGGATGGCTGACTACACTTACTGCTTGTGTGGATGACTTGGTGTGTTTCTGTTTGTGCGACACCTGTACTAGTTCAGACACATGTTTGTGTTCACCAGCACTCTGCACAGGACTCAGAAAGCTGGATGGAACTGTAAAGATTCTCTTGCCAGGAATTTCAGCCTGGGATGTGTTAAAAAGTGTTAGAAGTCAGCGAAGGAGATGATTGGCTTCTTGGGGCTGTCATAGAAACCCTAAAAAAAAATCAAGGTGAAAAAGAGCCTGTTTTTGCCAAAACAAACGCTGGATATGATGCTTTTTTTTTTTTTTTTGCTTTTGTTTGGAATTGTGTCAGTTATGCGAGACGTCTTGAAGTTCATGAAAAATGCATATTACGAAAAGATTTTACCTGGATTTCAATTTTTTTAGACTCAAACTTATCTTTGAATTCTACTTTTCCAGTAAGCTTTCTGAAGTACTCTGACGTGTGGTCACATGCAGGTCAGAAGCGCTGAGTATCAGCCAGAATCACCTCCCAGGTGACCAGCAGAAGGTGGTGTAATGAAAGGAGTTCTTGCTGGTGAAAAAGGCTAACCGAGGCCTGTGCTTGTACAGCAGGGGAATCGGAGAGTCAGGTGGAGAGGGGGATGCGCCTGTCTCAGAGTAGATACTCAAATACTTCATTCTGAAAGGAAAGAAAAAACTTGCCTAAGGCCACACAGCCATCCTACTATAGGCTGAGAATGGAGCCCAGGTCTTCTTTTTTCTTTTTAAGATTTATTTATTTTATGTGAAAGGTAGTGTTAGAGAGATTAATCTTTCATCTTCTGATTCACTCCCCAACTGGCTGCAATAGCTGGGACTGAGCCAGGCTGACACCAGGAGCCTAGAACTTCATCCAAGTCTCCCCACATGGGTGCAAGGGCCAAGCACTTGGGCCATCTTTCACTGCTTTCCCAGGCACATTAGCAGGGAGCTGGATTGGAAGCAGAGCAGCCAGGGATTGACCTGGCACCCGTACAGGATGCAAGGATCTCAAGCGGCAGCCTAACCTATTGTGCCATAATGGCAGACCCAACCCCAGGTCTTCTTTCAGTCCACTGCTGATTAATCCCTGTTTCTCAAGCAGCCTCAGCTTGTCCTTAAAACTGCTTTCCCATAGCTGCTTCTCAGTTTCTCTTCACCCAGAAAAGGACTTAGAAATAACTACTGTGTCTTCAGAGGCAATGCATGATGGTTCTGCAATATGCTGGTTTGAGGGAGGTGGGTGATGAGGTGATGTCTAAGTCCTTTCTCTGCTATAACTGTCTGTCACAGACTGGCTAATTCATAGATAACAAAGGCTTATTAAGTTTATAGTCCTACAGGGTGGGGAGTCCCAGAGTGTGGAACTAACATGGTAAGTGTCTTCTTGCTCTGTAACGGACTGCATCCCCTGGAGACATGGAGCAAGTGTGCTAGCTCTTAGGAAGCCACTGCTGCCCTTATGGGTCCCCGTTCTCAGGACTTCATCTGATTTAGTCGCCTCCTAAAAGCCCCACTCCCAGATACTCCTATGTTAACATAGGAGTTGAGGGACCATGTTTCCAACACATGAATGTGGGGACAAGGGGGTACCCAAACCACAGCAGGACGTCTACATGGTTGTCTACTTCGACTCTGGTTTCCTGAATTCCGGTCCCCCATGTCTTCTCTGGAGATCCTGAGTCTTCCCCAGTGACTGCCATCCTTTTCCCTTTTCTTTAGGGCGATACTGGATAAGAAGCTGGCTGCCTCTGTGAACATCCTGCCCAAAGCTGCTTCACTGTGAGTTTTGCCATGGCCAGTGGAGGGGAGTGGGAGTGCTAGCATCAGGTTCTGGCTGGTTGAAAGAGCACTGAACCAATGGGGGGTTGTCGAAGAATAACTAAAAAGCATTTAATCAATCAGCAGATTTGTAGTCAGAGGAGATTGATCAGTGGGTTTATGTCATTCAAGAAAAGCAAAAATAGATTTGTATAGAGAAGGTAATGGGGGAGCTACAGTTTAGAAATAGTGAATCTCTTGCACATTTGTTGATCAGATTAGTTAACCTGTTGTTAGCAAGGAAGTTATGTTAGGCATTCCATCCTAATATACAGAGTGGTTAAAAAAATGTTCAAAGAATTTGTTAGTCTGTGGGCAAGAAAGAAAAATTAAAGTAATAGTGAACAGAAATTTTAAAAATGGATTTTGTCTTCAAGAGGCAGTACCTAAGCAAATATTAAATTTGTAACAGTAGAGAGTTCCCTAGACTAATACTTAGAGCTATATAAACAGACTAAAGGGAGTGAGAGTAACAACTTTTAACAGGTAAGAATCATCTTGGATAAATGGAGGTAAGAAAAGTAACCTATATTGCAGTTTGAGGTTATTTACAGTTTGAAAGTCTGATTACTCTGGTTTCTATGTAATGAGAAATAAACAGCCAAATACTCATTTGCAAGCCAGCAAAGTGTATAGGAGAAAACAATTTCTATTGCTTTTGAGTTCTTTGGAAAACTCAGAGTTCTGCATACATGAGAGGCTGCTGCTGGGTGATGCCTGACTTTCCTTCATTAACACTTATACTTTAGAAGCCTGGTCTGTACCATTTCCCTTGTTAGATATGTTTCTGCTTCCCAGCACTGGCTGTGTAGGATTTGTCTTACGTCTTACTCTCTGATCATCTCCTTTCTCATCTCTTTCTTTGTCTCCCTAGTTCTACTTCCAAAAAAGAAATAATACACTGTCTGCAGATCAGAACAGGAAAGTGCTATATGACAAAAGCTACCTTTACCCCTAGTGATGTCATTCCCTCAATAGTACACACCATCTACAGCTGTGGCTCCTGGGTTTGGCCATGTTTTTAATCTGTGAGCTCCAGCCTAGATCTACTCAGTCTCCCTGAGAGTGGGGCTAGGTTTCTGACTTTTTAAAAAGATGTACGGTGATTCATGTTCAGCAAGTCTGGAAGCCTGTTTGGGAACTGGACTAGAATTTCAGTCTAGTGTTCCTTTCGTGTGTCCCTCTTTGCTTGTAATTGATCCATTTACCACAGCTCAGTGGCGCAGACAGGGCCAGTGGCCTAGATCATCTACAGTTCTCTATGAGTCAGTGTGATCTTTCCAGGCCAAATTTCTTTCCTTTCCCATGATGCTGTTCTCATACTCTGCTAAACATTTTGTCACTAACTTTTTTTTCCTCGCAGAAACCTTTTTTTTTTTTTTGAGATTTATTTATTTATTTGAAAGTAAGAGTTACACAGAGAGAGGAGAGGCAGAGAGAGAGAGAGAGGTCTTCCATCTGATGGGTTCGCTCCCCAACTGCCGCAACAGCCGGAGCTGAGCCGATCCGACACCAGGAGCCAGGAGCTTCTTCCGGGTCTCCCACACGGGTGCAAGGGACCAAGGACCCGGGCCATCCTCTACTGCTTTCCCAAGCCATAGCAGAGAGCTGGATTGGAAGAGGAGTAGCTGGGTTTCGAACCGGCGCCCATATGGGATGCCAGCGCCTCAGGCCAGTGCGTTAACCCGCTGCGCCACAGCGCTGGCCCCTCAGAGACCTTTTATTTAAGATATATAGACTTCATACATTTCATAACTACAACCTCAGGAACACAGTGATTGTCCCCAGTGTACTTGCCCTCTCACCCTTCTGCCTCCTCCCTCTCCTATTCCCATTCTTATTTGTTACTAAGATCTATTTTCAATTAACTTTATACACATAAGATTAACTCTGTACTAAGAGTTCAACAAATAGTATGAAGAGAAAAAAACAAAACTGTTCCTCCACAGTAGACAAGGGCTGTTCAAAGTGTCAATTTCACTTCTATAGATTACCTTTTAGGTGCTCTGTTACCACAGATCAGGGAGAACATATGATATTTGCCTTTTGGGGACTGCCTTATTTCACTATTATGCTTTCCAGTTTCATTCATTTTGTTGCAAATTATAGGATTTCATTTTTTTAACCACTGTGTAGTATTCCAAGGTGTACATATCCCATGACTGCTTTATCCAGTCTTCAGTAGACAGTCATTTGGGTTCATTCCATATTTTAGCTATTGTGAATTGAGTGCAATAAACATGGGGGTACAGATAACCCTTTTGGTATGCTGATTCATTTCCCTTGGGTAAATTCCCAGGAGTGGGATGGCCTGGTAATATGGTAGATATATATTCAGATTTCTGAGGTATCTCCATACTGTCTTCCACAGTGGCTGTATCAGTTAACATTCCCACTAACAGTGGATTAGGGTACCTTTTTCCCCACTTCCTTGCCAGTATTTATTGTCATTAATTTCTGTTTGAAAGCCATTCTAACGGGTTGAAACCTCATTGTGGTTTTGATTCGCATTTCCCTGGCTAGTGATCCTAAGAAATTTTTTTAAAGATTTATTTATTTGAAAGTCAGAGTTACAAAGAGAGGAGAGGCAGAGAGAGAGAGAGGTCTTACATCCAATGGTTCACTCCTCAATATGCCACAACAGCCGGAGCTGCGCTAATCTGAAGCCAGGAGCTTTCTCTGGGTCTCCCATGTGGGTGCAAGGGCCCAAGGACTTGGGTCATCTACTGCTTTCCCAGGCCGTAGCAGAGAGCTGGTTCAGAAGTGGAGTAGGCCGGCGCTGCGGCTCAATAGGCTAATCCTCCGCCTTGCGGTGCCGGCACACTGGGTTCTAGTCCCGGTCGGGGCACCGGATTCTGTCCCGGTTGCCCCTCTTCCAGGCCAGCTCTCTGCTGTGGCCAGGGAGTGCAGTGGAGGATGGCCCAAGTCCTTGGGCCCTACACCCCATGGGAGACCAGGAGAAGCACCTGGCTCCTGCCATCGGATCAACGCGGTGCGCTGGCTGCAGCACGCCAGCCGCGGCGGCCATTGGAGGGTGAGCCAACGGCAAAGCAAAGGAAGACCTTTCTCTCTCTCTCTCTCTCACTGTCCACTCTGCCTGTCAAAAAAAAAAAAAAAAAAGTGTAGTAGCCAGGTCTCAAACTGGCACTCGTATGGGATGCCGGTGCTCCAGGCCAGGGCATTTACCTGTTGCGCTGCAGCACCGGCCCCAATCCTGAGCATTTTTTCATGTGTCTGTTGGTCATTTGGATTTCCTCTTTTGAAAAATGCCTGTTTAAGTCCTTTGCCCATTTCTTTACTGGGTTGTTTTGTTGTTGTTGAGTTTCTCAATCTCTTTATATATTCTGGTTATTAATCCTTTATCAGCTGCCTAGTTTGTAAATAATTTCTCCCATTCTGTTGATTGCCTCATCAGTTTGCTGAGTGTTTCTTTTGCAGTACAGAAGCTTCTCAATTTGATGTAATACCATTTGTCATTGCCTGTGTCTCTGGGGTCCTTTCCAAGAAGTCTTTGCTATGCCAATGTCTTGCAGGTTTTCCACAACGTTGTGTAACAACTTGATGGTGTCAGGTTGTAGATTGAGGTCTTTGATCCATTTCGAGTGTATTTTTTTGTAAGGTGTAAAGTAGGGGTCTTGCGTCCTACTTCTGCATGTGGAGATCCAGTTTTCTCAGCGCCATTTGTTGAAGAGACTGTCCTTGCTCCAGGTATAGATTTTAATTTCTTTGTCAAAGATAAGTCAGTTGTAGATGCATGGGTTGATTTCTGGTATTTGTATTCTGTTCCATTGGTCTACTCATCTGTTTTTGTACCATTACCAAGGTGTTTTGAGTGTAACTGCCTGTAGTATGTCTTAAAATTTGATATTGTGATGCCTCTGGCTTTGTTTTTGTTGTATAAGATTGCTTTAGCTATTCTGGGTCCCCTGTGTTTCCATATAAATTTAAGCAATTTTTTTCTGTATCTGAGAAGAATGTCCTTGGTATTTTTATTGCATTGAATCTATAAATTGCTTTTGATAGTATGGACATTTTGATGATACTTATTCTTCCAATCCATGAACATGGAAGATTTTTCTGTTTTGTCTTCTCTCTTTCTTTCTTTAATGTTTTGTAATTTTCATCGTAGAGATCTTTGAGATCCTTGGTTAAATTTATTCCCAAGATATTTGATATTTTTTGAAGCTATTGTGAATGGAATTAATCTTTAGAAGTTCTTTTTCAGCCATGACATCTGTGTATGCGAAGGCTTTTTGTATGCTATCTGTGTATGCAAAGGATTTTGGTGTTTTGATTTTATATCCTGCCACCTTATCAAACTCTTATGAATTCTAGTAGTCTTTTAGTGGAGTCATTTAGATCCCCTGTATATAGAATCATGTCATTTGTAAATAGGGAAAGTTTGGCTTTCTTCTTCCCGATTTGTTTCCCTTTGATTTCTTTCTCTTGCCTAATGGCTCAGGCTAAGACCAGAACTATATTGAATAGCAATGGTGAGAGCGGGCATCCTTGTCTGGTTCTGGATCTTAGTGAGAATAGTTTCAACTTTTCCCCATTCAATAGGGTGCTAGCCATGGGTTTGTCATAAATCGCCTTAATTGTGTAGAGCAATGTTCCTTGTATATCCAATTTACTTAAAGTTTTCATCATGAGAGAATGTTGTATTTTATCAAATGCTTTCTGTTCATCTATTGAGATAATCATATGGTTTTTTTCTTCAGTTAGTTAATGCGATGTATCACATTGATGGATTTGCAAATATTGAACCATCCCTGAATACCAATAAAGTGGGGATCCCACTTGGTCTGGGGAATATTCTTTCTGATGTGTTGTTGGATTTGATTGACTAGCATTTTATTGAGGATTTTTGCGTCTGTGTTCATCAAGGAAATTAGTCTGTAGTTCTCTTTGTATCTCTTTGTAATTCTCTGTTGTATGTTTTTCAGGTTTAGTATTTAAGGTGACACTGGCTTCATAGAAGGAGTTTTGGGAGGATTCCTTCCCTTTCAATTGTTTTGAATAGCTTGAGAAGAAGTGAAGTTAGTTCTTATTTAAATGTCTGGTAGAATTCAGCAGTGAATCCATCTGCTCTTGGGTTTTTTTGGGGGGCAAGGGGGTTTCATTGGTCTTTATTACTGATTCAATTTCCATTTTGGTTATTGGTCTGTTTAAGTATTCTATGTCTCAATTTAAATAGGTTGTATATGTCCAGGAATCTGTCCATTTCTTCTGGGTTTCTTGGTTTGTTGGTATGTAGCTCTTTGTAGTAACTTCTGATGATTCCTGTGGCATCTGTTGTTACCTTTCCTTTTTAATTTCTAATTTTATTAATTTGTGTTCTCCCTCTTTTTTTTTTTTTTTTTTTGGTTGGTTGGGCCAATGGTGTGTCAATTTTGTTTTTTTTTTTTTTCTTTCAAAAAGCTAACTCTTTGTTTTGCTGATCATTTTGTTGTTTCAATCTTTTTATTTATTTTCTAATTTTAATTATTTCTTTTCTCCTAATTTTGGGTTTGGTTTGCTGTTGTTTTTCTAGGTCCTTGAGATGCACTGATAAATCATTTATTTGATGCCTTTCTAATTTCTTGACGTAGGCCTCAATTGCTATAAACTTTCCTCTTAACACTGCTTTTGCTGTATCCCATACATTTTGATATGTTGTATTATCATGTTCATTCATTATCTGAAATTTTTTTATTTCTCTTTCAATTTCTTCTATGACCCACTATTTGTTCAGGAGCATGTTGTTCAGTCTCCTTGTGTTTGCATATATTCTAGAGATTCTTTTTTTTTTTTTTTTTTTTTTTTTTTTTTTTGACAGGCAGAGTGGACAGTGAGATAGAGAGACAGAGAGAGAAAGGTCTTCCTTTTGCCGTTGGTTCACCCTCCAATGGCCGCCGCTGCAGCCGGCGCACCGTGCTGATCCGATGGCAGGAGCCAGGATCCAGGTGCTTTTCCTGGTCTCCCATGGGGTGCAGGGCCCAAGCACCTGGGCCATCCTCCACTGCACTCCCTGGCCATAGCAGAGAGCTGGCCTGGAAGAGGGGCAACCGGGACAGAATCCGGCGCCCTGACCGGGACTAGAACCCGGTGTGCCGGCGCCGCAAGGTGGAGGATTAGCCTATTGAGCCACGGCGCCGGCCTTTTTTTTTTTTTTTAGAGATTCTTGAGTTGTTAATTTCCAGCTTCATTCCATTGTGGTCAGAAAAGATGCATTGTATGATTTCACTTTTTTTGAATTTGCTGAAATTTGCTTTGTGGCCTACCATGTGGTATATCCTAGAGAAAGTTCCTTGTCCTGGTGGGAAGAATGTGTATTCTACAACTATTGTATGAAAAGTTCTATAGAACTTCTTTGTCTCTCTTAACAGTTTTTGTGTTAAAGTCTATTTTATCTGGTATTAGGATGGCTACAACAGCTCTTTTGTGTTTCTGCTAGCATGGAGTATCTTTTTCCAACCTTTCACTTTCAGTCTCCTGTATCTTTGTTGGTGAGATGTGTTTCTTGTAGGCAGCAAATCGATGGGTTTTGTTTTTTAATCCATTCAGCCAGTCTGTATCTTTTAATTGGAGAGTTGAGGCCATTTACATTCAAGATGACTTTTGATAAGTAATGACTTGTCCCTACCATTTTTTCATAAACATTCCTATTGTTTACTTTGGACTTCCTTTGTACTTTTACTGGGAGAGTTTATGCCTTCACTTTGTTTCACAATGCTAACCATGTTTCTGTGTGTAGCACATCCCTAAGCATCTTTTGTAAGGGTAGCTGAGTGGTGACAAATTCTTTCAATTTCTATTTGTTATGGAAGGCCTTTATTTCACCTTTATTCATGAGAGCTTTACAGGGTACAGTATTCTGTGCTGACAGTTTTTTCCTCTTAAGGCTTGGACTATATCTTGCCATTCTCACCTAGCCTGTAGGTTTTCTGATGAGAAGTCAGCTGTGCATCTAATTGGAGTTTCTCTGAAAGTTATCTCAATTTTTCTCATGCATATTTTAGAATATTTTCTTTATGTTTTACTGTGGAGAGTTTGACTACAATGTGTCGTAGTGAAGATCTTTTTTTGTCACATCTATTAGGAACTCTTATGTGCTGCTTCTACTTGGAAGTCCCTTTCTTTCGCCAAATTTTGTAATTATTTCACTAAAAAGGCCTTCTAATCCATTCTCTCTTTCCACATATTAAAGAACTCCTAAGACCCATTTGTTGGGTTGTTTGATAGTATCTTATGGGCTGTTTCCAACACTGTTTTTTCGTTTTCCAATTTTTTCTTTTTTTTGGTCTGACTGTAAAATTTCTAGAGATTTTTCTTCTAACTCAGATATTTTTTCTTATGCCTCACTGATTCTGTTGTTAAGGCTTTCCACCACATGTTTTATTTGATCTATTGAATTCTTCATTTCCAATATTTTATTTTGATTTCTCTTTAAAATCTCAATTTCATGGGAAAAATTTTCATTCAGGTCATGTATGGATTTCTTTAGTTCATGGATTTGCTTCTGATTATTTCTAAGTAATCTGTTTCTGGCATTTTTTCAGCATCTTCATCTTTACATAATATTATTGAAGTGTTTTGTGTTACTTTGAGGGGTATCATGTTGTCTTCCTTATTCTTGTTTCTTGAATTGCTGCATTTATTTCTAGGCTTTTGTGGAAATGCTGGTTGGGTTTTTTTTTTTTTTTTTCCTCCTTGTGATAGCTTTTATTTTTGGACTATGTCTCTGTGGCTTAGTGGGGTATCTGTTCTTTCAGTGAATACATAGAGGCGTGTGCTGGGTGTGGCCAAGGAGCTCTGTTCAAGGTGATACTGAAGTTGGGCGTGGTAGAGCTCTTTTATTTATTTATTTTTAATCAGAGAAGATTTGATCAGTTCTGTTGGCGTAGGCTCACATTCACCTCCTCTCCCTGAAGGAGACCAATGCCTGGGTGCTAGCCCCAGTGGGTACAGTATTCATCCATGCTGCCACAAGAACCACACAAAGGATCCGTGCAGTCCTGGTGTGAGCACAGATCTCACAGCAATGACCCTCCCCAGGGAATCAGAGTCCCGAGCGTGTGGAGCCACCCAAAGTGACTGCCCAAAGACCCAGCCACAACCTGGGCCCTCCCACACAGCCACTGTTCTCACAGTCCCAGCACACAATGCTCCCACAATCAGGAGCACCCAGCCCCCTGTCAATTCTCCCATCCAGATTCAGGCCTCTCCTCTTGGCTGGTTGCTGGGCGTGTGGAGATGAGCTGGCACAGCTATTACATGTGTCCAAAACAGCACCTGCCCTCCCTCGGCTGGTTACAGGACACCAGTGCGGGGTGGTCAGGGAGAGGGAAATGTGCCCCCTTTTTTTTCCCTCTAGGTTGGCAGGTTGACTGTCCCCCATAGGACTCCAAGCCAGACTCACACCAGGCTCTTCCCACAGCTTTATCGCCAGTGGCTTGAGCTGCTGCCATCTGGTGTCCCCTCACTCTCCAAAGCTAGTGCTGAAGCTCCTGGCTGCTGGGGTCCTCCCTCCACTTGGAGCCACAGTGTCCCTCTAATTTGCGTGGAGTTTCCTCTGCAGTTTTCTCCCTAACACTTCTTTGAGATTGCATATTCTCCACTTTTTTTTGAAACTCTTCTCATAGACTAGAACAGTAAGCTCCCTCCCTATTCTGCCATCTTGGAATCCTCCAAGTGACATTTCTGTACTTGTCAATGACTTTTCACTTCTAAAAATTTGGCTATCTAATGAGGCTCACTTTTCCCATGAAGGCTTCTGAATTTTTTTTTTTTTTTTTTAATTTACCAATGGGTACATGGGCAGTCAACTTTAAGAGTCAGTGATAAAAGTAATGGGACTGCAAAAGGCCTGGATGCCGTGAGCATTCAAAGGGCTGCAGATGTCCAGTTTGAAGGTGAGAAGACTTGGGAGTTTCAACAAGGCTGACTTGTGGTGCTACTTCATCTGGCCAGTTGGGGAAAACAGCCAGGTGGCAGGTATTAGCACACCACACACACACACACACACACACACACACACACACAAACACACAGAGTCTCTTATGAAACCATTTAAGTTAGATGGACTTCTTCTTGAAGTGGTGAGCCTCCTACCCCCAGGAGCGTTCCAGCAGATACTAGATGCACACATCAAAAATGGTTGGACTAGATGACCTCTGGAGTTCTGACCAACTCAAGACCTCTTTATATGGGCTTGGAAAGATTTTGAAAAGTTTCTCCTGCTTGGGCCAGGTGACGCTTCAGTAGGCTCCTGTTGGGAGTATCATAATTTGATGTGGTTCTCCCCTCCAGGTACTTCTGGAAGGGAGAAATAGAAGAAGCCACTGAGATCCTGTTGGTGAGTGAGGCTGGGGGCAGAGGGAGGGAATGAGAGGGGAATGAATGAGGCCAAGGCATTGTTCTGAAATTGCAATTAAAAATTTGCCCAACTCAAGTGATTGAGAGTCTTTCCCCCATGTAAGATGGTCTAGGTTCAGTTGTGAGCTAGTGACAGGGCCTGGTAGCCTGGAAGGAGTGCTGTCTCCTAAATGGCCTGATGAATGAGCAGCGGCAGAGCTGGGCCTGAGGTTCTAAAATCCATCATTGTGTTTTCTTCTTTTACAGTTAATAAAGACAAAGACTTCCAAGGTTTTCATGCTGTCCAGCTACGTCAGGTAAGGCAGCGTCTCTTCGTTTGTGTTTACCACTCGGCCAGCCGGGATGTACTGGCTACTAAGTGAATCAGCTTGCAAAGTGGAGACCAGGAGTCTCACCACCAACCTCCATGTGCCTCTGAATCAGTCCTTGTCCCTCTGTGAGCCTCAGATTCTCCATCTATAAAATGGGGGTCATAGATTAGACAGTTTAAAACAATGGGTTTCTAAATATTGGTCTTAGGACCTCTTTACATGTCTAAAGATTGAGATCCTAAGGAACTTTATTTGTGGTTTATATTAATATTTACTGTTTTAGACATTACAGCTGAGAAATTTAAAGAATATTTTTAATTCATTTAAAATAAACCCATTGTATATTATACATAGATAGTGTATTTTAATGGAAAGTAATCATATTTTCTATAAAATAGAAGGATGGTAGTATTGACACTTTTGCCAAATCTACCTTAATAAGACAATTGGCTCTCCTCAGAAGCATCTTTAAATATTGGTATAGTTTTAAGTTCATGGTGATAAATTCAAATTTCCCAAAACTTTAGTTTTTGCTTAAAAACAGGAATTTTCTCATTGACAGTAGCTGATGTAGAGTATCATCATTTGAACAACACATTCACTTTGTTGTGTTTGGGAAAATATCTACCTAATACCAAAGCCTGACTAATCATAATTTTTTAAAATAACAAATTGCGGTCATTCAGGCTTGAAAGCAAAATAGTGCTTCCTGAGAAGTGTCTAGTTCAGTGTGTGACTCAGTCAGACAGGCTTACACCAGCCATTGCACCTGGGTGTAGAGCAGAAATGCTTGCTATGTGTTTCTCATTTTATCACACAGAATGTTAAAAAGACAAATATTCAAGGGTTTCAGTTTAATAAAAATAGCAACTTGTGTCACTTGATCAAAATGTTAAGTGAAGCTGACTTTAACAATGGAAGTGTGGTGGTGAAGAATACAGTGGCAGTGAATACAGGTTGGTGCCTCTGTCTTGGCTCACGTTCAGGTGCCTGCAGTTTTACTCATCTTTGCATACCATCAGTTTCCATCAGTGCAGATGTCAACACAATAAAAACATAAGTAACAAATTAGAATTATTATGAAAATAGTTTTGACCAGTGGACCCCATGAAGAGTCTCAGAGATTGCTAAAGGCCACTGAACTTCACTTTGGAAACCACTGGTCTAACCCCTTATCATTCAGTGGCTGGTGGAATTGGCATCACTTGGGAGCTTGCTTGAACTGTAGAATCTCCTCATTCCACTGGAATCAAACTTCAGTTGATTCCTGTACACGTCAACTATTGAGGAGCACTGGTCAGAACCAGCGGTTCTCAGTGCTGGCTAAGTACTGGAAAATACCACCAGGTGATTCTAACAAACCAACATAGGTCCCACCGCACAGATTCTGATGAAGTCAGCTGTGGTGGAGACTGAGTATGGTACTAAAAACGTACCCCAAGTTGATTCTGACATGTGGCCAAGGATGGGAACCACCTATCTGGATGATAAAACCTCTTCCTGTCACATCTTTGAGAACTAGGATTCTGTGAAATAAGGGCTGTAGAAAAGGCCCTCATATCACCACTTCATCCGAGGTGAGGGAAGGAAGCACTTTTGGTAGAACCATCACCGTCAAGAGATTACAGTTTAACTGATGAAGAACAGTTTCAGGATTCAGAACTTGACCTGTGTCAAAACGTGGCCCTCCAACTAGCATTTGTACCCTAAGTACATGCAAAATACTAATACTTTCCGTGATTTGGCTGCCCTATTTATAAAATCAGGATCATACTAATAGATTGTTAAATGTACTGAATTAATACATGAAGTGGTTTATCAGCATCTGTTCTTCTAGTAAAGTGTTAAAAATGCTAATTCTTTGAATTCTGTATGTTTGCTTGTAAAATCGCATATGTACATTTGTCTAGGTCTCCATGAATTAAGTTACCAAAATCCATCATCCTGAGGCACTGGATAAAATTAACCAGCTTTAAATGCTGATTCACTTAAATACATCTTGTGATTGGTGAAGCGTGTAAGCTCATGAGTGCTTGAGAGTGCCTCACTGAGCAGACAGGAAGCAAGGACTGTTACCCCTGTTACAAGGATGGGGAACTGAGACCCAGCCCTCATGTTTCTTCAGCCGAGAAAGTGAAGATAACTTGCACCATGTGCCAAGGGGCCGGTGAAAGAAACAGGAGAGGAGAGAGAGATGCCTTAGAAAAGGTCAGCGGTTCAGCTGGGCCTTGAAGGATAGAATAATGTGTGATTGACCAACCGGAGCAGGGAGAACTTTGTAGGTGCAGAAGAGAATACAGGAGTGTTGGGGACGGGGACTGTTTGGGAAAGGCACAGCAATGTGTGCGGGATGGTAATGGAAACAGTAGCTAACATTTTTTTTTAAAGACTTATTTTATTTATTTGAAAGACAGAGTTACAGAGAGAGGTAGAGACAGAGAAAGAGGTCTTCCATCCACTGGTTTATTCCCCAGATGGCCGCAACGGCCGGAGCTGCGCCAATTCGAAGCCAGGAGCCAGGAGCTTCTTCTGGGTCTCCCACATGGGTGCAGGGGCCCAAGGACTTGGGCCTTCTTGTACTGCTATCCCAGGCCATAGCAGAGAGCTGGATTGGAAGTGGAGCAGCTGGGACTAGAACCGGTGCCCATATGGAATGCCGGCGGTTCAGACCAGGGCTTTAACCTGCTGCGCCACAGCGCTGGCCCCAGTAGCTAACATTTAATGAATGCATGCAGTGCCAGTTGATGCACGGGTAACCGCATATACCTCATCTTATTTAATCCTCAGCAACCCAATCAGGAAGGTACTGTTTTTATTCCCTCTATCATAAAGGCCTCTGGAGAGATTTAGTGACTTGTCGCTTGTCACACAGCTAGTAAGGGCAGACTTAGAATTTGAACCCACGTTCATGAGACTGAAGCCATCTGGCCCAACTTACCACCTAACAGATGGGACACGGGCTCAGGAGTGGTCAGCCACAGCTAGACAGGATGGCTGTGGCAGATTGTAGAGGGCCTCCAGTGAGCTGGCCAGTTGGGTATTCTTGCGTGGATTGATTCTAATCATCGTCACTCAACAGGGGTCTGCTTTCTTTCCAAAGGTTGGTCCATCCTTTTGAAATCCCAGAGGTCTTCAGTCTTCCCATGGACCAAGGAGATGTACAGTATTTAAAGTGGCTTGAGGAGGGTATGGAGGAAGACTGAGTGGGAGAAGCTTCTGCGTATGCCACTGGCTACATCGGCTCTAGCCTTCATCAGCTATACTCTGGGGAATAGAGGCCTCTTGTTGGCTCCCAGCACCTCTGGACTCCAGGTTCCTGTCAGCACAGAGGCGCTAACCAACCTGTGGAGGCTGAAGGCCCAAGGCTGCTGAGGCTGGAAGAGAAGGCTGGGCCAGTCAGGCCAATCAAGAACCCAGGGGAACTTGTCTCTGAGTGCTTCATGCTTACACGTGGCCAGAGGGTGGGAAGGCAAGGATGGCTCTGTGTAGAGACAGACCGCAGGGAGGTAGCAGGGAGGGGAAGTTTGTTGTCTTTAGTCACTGGCCTACCTTGAGTGCCTAGGGTATGTTTACCTTCTTGTTTTTCTGGGGAAGAATGGGCCCTTGCTAAACCTGGAGGTGTAGGATGATCGTGTCTTTCTAGGGAAACTGGCAACTGCTTTCTTCAAGGATGAATTGCTAATGGTGGAATTTCAGGAATGAAGAGTAGTCTTTGAGCTAAAGAGGCTCTGGTTGCTCCTAAGTCCTGCAGAGGTGGTCCTGGGAATGGCTGGGGGAATATTAGAGCTGAGACACAGCCTCCCGGATTGGAAATTACGAGTTGACTCTTGTTCTGTGACTGCCATCAGGAGATGGTGATGGAGAGGGAGGTTCTAAGGCTGCCCTACTAACCTTTTCCTTGGAGCACAGAAACAGAGCCCTGGAACCTGCTAGGCCAGTGTTTTCTGGGTTCCACAGAGCCCCAGGAGATACTTTGGGGGCTGCCTGTGGAGGGAAGGGTCTGAGGTCTCCCATCCATATTCCTACTGGTGCTCATGTACCTTTTTAAAAACATGTATTGTGCTCACTTACAAAACCCGTTTTTAAAAAGTTTGTCAAAACTTTGTAAGCCACTGCTCTAAGCCACTCTCCATGCGTAGGTTACTTGTGGAAACTGAACCACAGTGAGGCCCGTGGATGGTGGTGTGTTGGGTGCACATAGGCCAGCCAAAGTAGCTCACGCTGGTTCTGGGGTTCCCCTGTCCTGGCTCCACAGGCCTCTGGTGGGAGGGGAGGGAAGGTAGTGACTGCTGAGCCCCAAGCAGTGAGAAGACACTAGACCCAGGCCCTTCCAGAATCCGTCACAGGTAGCTCTGTTCTGCAGAGAGTGGTCCTCGGGCAGCTGTGATATCCTGGGTTTCTCCTGAAGGGAAAGCATGTGAGACAAGTGGTACCAGCCTCTGGTTCTGATACCTGCCGTGCTTATCCCCAAATAACACATGGGGTGGAACCCCAAGGGCCCATCTGTGAAGAGCTTGTGGGGACTTGAGGCTGTGTGGGGCTGGGGCCAGGCCTTCAGGGGGCTGCCTCAGGGGAAGAATAAGAACAGAGTGATAATGGTGGTGGGGTCCTTTGCTTTTTGTAACAGATTAGCTTCTGATACATAGTCATATAAGTATTGTGTAAACTACTTAAGATGTACCAGGGACCCCAGAAAGGCCTGCCTCCCAGTGTGGTAGGTGGATGGCTGCACTGTGCTGTGCCCGAATGTCTGTCAGTTGCCTGCCGCAGGTGAGGCGTGGCTTCCCCTGTGGAAGGAAATCTGCCTTGGTGTTTCTGTTATCTGTGTGTGTCACAGTCAGAGCCGTATCTGAATCTATCTGAGCTCTTGCAGAGGGTCTGGCAACAAACCCTGATGTTTGAAGGAGTTAAACAAATCTGTCTCTACAAGTACATAATTACCTTTAAATGGTGGAATAGGCAAAATCCCACTTTTCCTTGAACTTTTTTCATGTGGAACTAATTTCAAAGGAGATCGTGGTCTTCATTGGTTCATTTTCTGTGTTCATTCTGCATGTTATTAGAAAACTGTTGGTGGCTTGCCTTTGCCTTGGCGACATCAAGGTTGATTATTGAAGGAAATGGGAAGGGAGTGGGGTATTTACTAAACACTAGCTCTCTGCCCGTACCCTGCTAGGTTAAGGCTGTTGCATAACACAGTGTTACCCTTATTTACAGATGAAACCTCAGATCAGCCCGTATGAGACTCTGAGGGGCAGATCTAGACATGAACCCATGTCTGATTCTCAGCCTCATGCGCTTACTGCCTCTCTCTGAACGAGGCTGGGTAAGTCCCTTTGTAGGCCAGAGACCTGCCACAGCCAACTCTGCAGAAAGAGAGATTAGATCTTAAAGCATCAACGTGTAGGTTGCATTGTTTGCTCTTCCACAGATTTGGAGTGGGGTAGTACCCACATTCTACAGATGAAGGAATAGATTTAGAAGCATTCAGTAACCTTTAGGGTCAGCATAACCCCGACGTAAGTGGTCTGGCCCCCCACTCAGAGTGGTGGTGTGGGAGCTGGCATAGACCTGCACCAGTGTGTCCAAGTAGGAGTTGCTTTCCAGCACCTCTTAGAAGTAGGACTCAGAATCCACAGGAAACCAGTTGAGGAAATGAGGAAGGGCATCATGATTATCCCATGAACACCAGTCTATGAGCACAGAGAGGTGACTGGTTTGAAGGAATCTTATTTTCACCAAAGGAATACCAAGAAGAGGGAACACCAGTATGCCCAGTTGAAGGGAAGAGAACCAAGACAGGAGCATGTGAGAGTGAAATGGTCACTAGCTATCCATCAGTCTTGTTTTAGGTTGTTGTCCTGTCATAGGTGTGTGTGTCTGGCCCTGTCTGCTAATGGTATGAACACTTTTGTACACATAGGATCCTTTATACAGACTGTTCCTGTGTGCTGTAAGCAAAATAAATTGGCAACTTAGACACATGACTGATTGTAGACGCTGTTATCCTTTCTAAGATACATGAATAGGACATTATTTAAATACCACCCAATAAATGTTCTCTGGCATTTCCCAGTCTTTAAATATTATATGAAGGCTACACTTCTTTGTAAATACTAAGCTTAATATGCCTATTAAACAAGTTTTTTCAGATATCCATGATAAGGGGAAGAGTGAAGAATGAAGTATTTTAAGCTGTTTAAGCAGTTCGGGCAGTTTCTGCCAACTGCAGGTTCTTGTTCCTAAATTCCAAAGGGAAGTGTTTGTTATGGACTTGGAAACACTGACCTAGACCACAGAGCAGCAGGTACTGTCCAGCCTGGGAGGCCCCTGGTCTCGGCAGGGTCCACCCAGCTGCTCACTCTATAGAGCAAGAATTGGAACCCAGGTCTTCTGACACCTCATGCCCTTCAATGATTTCAGCCCAGAGAATAATCCCATTTGCTCCCTCTCCCCAAGAATGGTTTTACTCCAAAGGCAGCTAAAAGGTTGAAATAGGAGGAACAGGAGACAAAGCAGGAGCCATCTTCAATGAAGGGCAGCTGTTACTGACACACCCAGGCCCCTCACTGGGAGCTAACAGGAGGCTACATTATACCCAACACTGTGGAATTCATTTGAGCCCATAGCCTTCACCTCTCTAGAGCCAGTTTTCCCCTACCCTTTCATATATTAGTTTTCTCTTTTCCAAACTGCCCTAAATTTAAAGTCACATGCGAGGGTACTTCAAAAAGTCCACGGAAAATGGAAGTAAAGGATGTTTATTTTGATGCAACAACAACAAAAAATTTAAATCCATTCATAGTTTTCCCATAATATACATTTTCCATGAACTTTTAAAAGACCCCTTATATGCACACCTGGGAGCCTGGCAGACACTAACTCAGCACCGAAAGCACAGAAAACCGAAGCAGAGGACCAAACTGGTACAGGGCAGAACCAGCCGAGCCTAGAAGTCACTCCAGACTTCCAGAGTCATGTGCCTGTGCGTCCTGAGGCAACCCAAGCCAAATGCTGTAGCGCTGGACCAGGTCAGCTTCCACGTCCCCACTCTGCCTGCCAGTAAGGGCCAGAATGTTGTGGTGCCTAACCTCCAGGCAGCCAAGAGCCTCTTCCTGCTGCTTCCCAACAGCGGGTAAGTCCTTACTGAGAAGTGAAGCAGTTTCTCAAAGGGAGCGTTAACACTATAAACCAGACACATTAATTATAACTTTAATATAACAAATGTTATTAAAAGCAGCAATTCAAAACCATGAATCTTAGAAGGTGCACAGGGTTATAAGGTCAGTTGGCAGTAATGCAGCTATTATCTGGTATGAATGAAATGCTGGGGTGGGAGTCAGGGTGACCTTGGTAGGCCTCGGGCTGTCTTCCCAAGTGGGAAAGACACCTGCTTCCCTCCTTCCCCCTTCTAGCTCAGAGCCTCGGGAGCTCGAGTAGGGGGAGGTGCAGATGTCCTGGCACAGGCCCAGCTCACCCAGGCTTGTGCAGAAACCTGGAAGGCAGGCCCGCTGTGCTGTCTGGAGACAGCAGGAAGCCGCAGATTGGATCTGGGTCCCACCCCCCTGCTGAGCCTGGGCTGGCCTCACTCCCACAGGCTCCAGGCAGGGGGCCTCAGAGGCAGCAGCTGTGGAGCTGAGCATGGGGAGAGTCGGGCCCAACACCAGCTTTTCCAGAGGTGGGCTGTGTGCAGAAGGTGAGGTCTCTTAAGGCACTATAGGAACTGAGGTATAAGGCGGGGGCATCTAACCTACCTCAGGGACCCCTAAACACTCACAGCAGGGAAAGGTCAGGCCTAAGCAGGGAAAAACCATCTTCTCCTAGCTGCTGCCTCTTTCCACCCACGTTGGCCTTCCAGCTGGTGGCTGGCAAACCCAGCCAAGCTAGAGGCTACAGCAGCAGCTGGTCAGGCTGGTCCCCATCTGGTGCCCTGCCCCCAGTCAAGGCACTTTTTCCATTTTCCAATCAAGCCGGTCAGTTTCTATTATCTCTGGAAGCAGCAAAAATGAGGGGTTCCTCCCCTCCCGGTTTTGGTTTCCCTCCAGATGGGCCCAAGTTTGAATGTCAGTTCTAAGAATTCTGTGGATGCTCCCTGCTGACAGAAAGTTCCCTCTAGCAGACTGAACCATGCAGGCCCCTTAGAAGTTCCAACCTATCCAAAGAGTGATTGTCACTGTTACTGCTGGCAGAGGCCATGAGTTCCTCTGTGCCTCCCTATGGGGGCCACAAGGGCTGGAGGAGGGGGCAGGAGCTGGGCTTTCACATTCAGCTGCAACACACGGCCCTGGAAAGGGCCACAGGACAGCCAAGGGCAGGAGCCAGGCTCGTCCTGGAAGGAATGGCTGGCTGTTGTGTACGTGTTCAGATGGAGGTGACGGGTGCTGCTTGGCTGTACGTGGTAAGTCCAGGGGTGAGAGGCACAGGGAACAGTGTGACCACTCTGAGGTTTAGCAGGACATGGCTTCTGTGCCTGCCTCTCCTTCCCTCTGGTTCCCCAGAAAGGCCAGGCCCTACTCATGGCAACAAAGCAGGGGAAGGGAGTGCCTGGGGAAGCGCAACTTCTGTGACCTCCAGAGCTGGCTTCATGCTGGTGCCTTGGGAGGCAGAGACCCTGCTGCTGACTCCTCAAGCCAGGGCCTCTGCCACCCATGCTTTCCTAGAGGCCTTCTTGCACCCACTCTTCCTCCAGGGCCCCTGCTGTCATGATGTAGTCCCTGGGAGGACTGGCTGCCACGGTCAGGCACGAAGGTATCCAGTGGAGGGACAGATGTGCACACAAACACACCCAAAGGAGAGGGGAAGGGACTTAGAATTGGGGCCTCAAGAGAAAGGCCACAGAGCCAGGGGAACACCAGAGGATCAGATACTGAGATGGAGAGAAGGGAGGGAGTAGACACACTGACAGCCAGCGGGGCCTTGGAGACAAGGCAAAGAGCGATGAGCCCCAGGCGACCAACGGGCGGGACTGGCACAGCAGAGAGGCGCTGGCCCTGCCCTGGCCTGGCAGACAGGCAGGGTCCTTAGCCTTAGCCAGGCACTTGCAGCTCTGTCCTGCTTCCCTCTCCAACCCCAGCCTACAGAAAACTGGGGAGCCTATGGCTTCTGCGGTCCCTCCTTTGGTTTTCAGGGCTCCTGGCACCCCCTGAGGGCCAGTCAGTAGGGGGTGGTCCCCTCCCATTCCACCAGGTACTGCACCTTGCCCTCAGGCGTGACCCTCCGAGCCAGCACCTGGTACTTCTCCCCACAGGCCAGCCGCCCGGCTGCACCGAAGTAGTTGGTGATGGAGGACTTGAGGTGTGACAAGGATGAGTCATCCTCGCTGATGCTCTCAAACGTGTGGCTGTCGATGCCTTCGTCTGGACGCTCGGGGCCCGAAGCCCCCTCCGCACTGCTGTCCGAGGGGCAGCGTCCAGCCAGCTCGGCCGCCCGCCGCTTCGCCCGCAGTGGCATGTAGGCTTTGGCTGCCAGCTTCCTCTTGCGGCTGCCCACTGTCCGTCTGCCGGCAGGGGGGGAGGGGGGACAGGAAGAAACAATCAGAATGAACGCCTCTCCCTGAGCCATCTCCTGGGTGCCAGGCGGTGTGCCAGCTCTGGGTGTGGATCGTCTCGGGCCCTGTGAGGAGGAAAGCTGAGGCTCCGGAGAACTAGCCAGCTGGATGTGTCCGCTCAAGCGCACGCTGACTGCGGCACCATATACTGCCAGCTCTGTGCCTCCTGCCGTCTCCTGCTCACCCTGCCGCACTCCCCACCAGGATTCACTTCAAGCTGGAGGGGGCGAGGGGCTACAGCTGAGATGACCTTGTACCCCAGAGCCTGGATGGACACACACACACACACACACACACGTGCACAGGAGGCTGTGAGAGACAAATGGACACTTAGGTTCACACAGAAGAAATAAAATCAGAGATGATAGAGAAAGCCATAGAGATGTCTGGAGACAAAGACCTCAAGACACACCTCTCTGTCCCCTCTCCCAGACCCTGGGAAGTGCAAACATAGAACATCAGCACAAAGAGGCCCAGAATCTCTGGTCAAACATCCCCAGAACTAGAATGGTCGGCAAAGAGCTTTGCACAGGGTCTGAACCCAAGCAGTGTGAGTGCCTACGTGTAGCCCCCACGGAGCTCCAGGGACTTGGAGCCAGCGGTCCCAGGATCAGACCCACAATCTCAGAAAGCCAAGTTCCCCCAGCTTGAGATTCTGATGCGCACAGTGAGCCAAGCATCAGAGTTGGGAGCTTGTGGGGATGGGGAATGGTAGTGTTTGTAACACCTGAAACCACACCTCCAGGAAGCTCACCTGGAGTCATAGGAGAGGCTGGTGGAGGCGGAGCCAGAGGTGCTGGCTGCATCGGTGGAGTCCACATCCGAGAAGAAGGTCTGGCCTGAGCTGGCACTGCGTAGGAGAGAGGGTGAGCCTGCTGTTGGCCTGGCCTAGCAAGGTCCTGCCGACGTGGCCCTTGGCAATCCTTGGGAAGTCTCAGCTGTCCCCCAGTTCTGTCATGCACCCTCCATCCCAGTGGAGGCTGAGCTTCCCAACACCACACCTGCTTGTCCATTCTCTACCCATCCAGTCTACAAAGTCCAAGGCTTCCCTGCTGCCTCCCACCCCGTGTGGTGATACACACTGGTGACAATAACAAGCATGGTCTGGGCACTACACTGCTTATGGGCCAAAAGCACTTTGCAGTATCTTGCTTGTGAAAAACCACTGAGGTTCTCAGAAGTTAGGGAATTCAGCTGAAGCCACACAGTACTGGTGTGCGGGCAGGGGCCAGGGCTCAGCTGTGAGCCTTGCTCCCTCCTCCGGGCCCTCAGCTGAACACTGAGTGACCCTTAGCAATTCTGGAAACAAAATGATGGAGGGTGTTCCCCCCTCCTCTGCTTGTTACAAGCTGGGGGTGCTGTGTGCAACAGCCTGGCGGGGAACGGCTTCCTGGAACAAGCAGGGTCTCGGGGTTTCAGGTGTGGAGGAGGGGTTCGTAGGTTATTCCAGGCAGAGGGTGTGTGCACTAAGCAGCACAGGGAACACAGGGCAGCCATGGCAACTTGTGGATAAAGTGTGAGGGTGGGGGCCATGTTAAGGCATCCGGAACACTGCTTGGGGTGCAGGGCTGGAGGCTCCAGTGTAGAGACCCCCTCTGGGCAGCCTCTTGCAACACGAGCCCTTTGAACTGGGGGCTTCTGCTCCGCCCCTCTAGAGCCTGCCCATTTGGTTCCATCCCAGAGCTTCTGCTGGGCACCTCACTGTTACCTTACCTTTTTAAACTCTGAATTTCATCCAGCGTGAAGTCAAAGATGCTGGCCAGGTGGTGGTTGGTGCTCCAGGCCGAGGTAAAGTCACTCTGTGGACACAGGAGAAGAAAGGAGAAGGGTCTATCAGCAAGTGTCAGATCTGCCCCCCACGAGCACCCTTCCCCAGCTGCGGGCCACACACGCTGCCTGCTGTCCAATCAGCCCTGCCAAGGGCTGGGCCCCACCTGGGGTAAGGCCTGTCACCCCGGTCCTAGTCTCAGCCAACTAACTGGATGACCTTTACCTCTCGGGCCTCAGTTACTTCAAATGCAAAATGAATACAACAGCCCTTGCCCCGCTTCACTGTCTTGTAACCCGTAAAGTGCAGGGGAGACGTAGCACTGTTCTTGTACCTCAGGGCTCCCTTGAGTGCTAGGCGGGGCTCTGCACTGCCTTGATGTGTGACCTCAGGGAAGTCGCTGGCCCACCCTGCCCTCCGTCTCCCCACGCTGTGTTCTTGGGAGAAGCTGGGTTGGGAGGAGGAGTGTTCTTGGAGTGCCTGGCTTCTGCTTGTTGAGCTGTAACAGGAAGCAGCCTGTGGGGGAGTCCCCAGGGCAAGGGGTGGGGTGGGGGGGCAACTTAGCTCTCTACACAGGAGTCCCTACTGCAGCTGACCCTGCGTGTGAAAGTGGAGAGTAAGAAAACAGGAACTAACACTGGGAATAGCATCTTCCAGCAAAAACTTTGATCTTTTTCTTCTATAAACTCGCCTTTTCTGCTGCTGGAATTCGTGAGGCAACAAACTGTGAAGACAGAAAATGAAGAGGGTGGCCCAGTCAGAGCCAGAGGGCCGGGGCGGCCTGGAGGGAGGGGCCTCAGGAGCACTGCGGGGGTGGGCTCTGGGGGAGAAGGGCAAGTCCTGAGGCGTGAGTGTGGAGGGCGAACAGTGGGCAGCAGAAAGGCACCCAGGAGGAGGGCTCAGCTGGGCCACAGACCCAGCCCTAATCCAGCAAGGCTGGGACCAAGTAGGGCGATAAGGGCTGTGGTGGAAGGAGCCAACGAACGAGCATCGGGGCCTACAGCCTGGACTGGCCGCTGGTGCAGTCCTCCTGGCTTACTCGGATGCCACCGTACTCTCTGGGCCCACTGCATAGCCCCCTGGGACCCCAGCACTGACCCAGGCTTGCTCTTTCCTCTCTTACGCAGCTCAGAGGCGGCCCCGCCGGGCTCGGTGGGCACCAGTCCCTTGTCGGGGAGCAGCTTCCCGGGCGGGTTGGGGGGGACGCGGATGCGCAAGCGGAAGATGCACTTCTTCTTCTTGATCTCCTTGCCGCACAGGAACCTGAGGGGAGAGAGCTCTGGAGTCTGCCAGCCCATCCTCCGGGGAGCGGCGTCACACGCTAGAGGAAGCTCTCTGGATCCAGAGCCAAACTCCAGAGCGGCCTCCGGAGCCACCACCCCTCAAAGCCTGTGGGATGAGGGGGTGGGGTGCAGAGAAGATGCCCGGGCTCCTCTCTCCTCCATCCTGCTCACGTGTGGTTCTTGCAGCTCTGACGCCTTTTCTCCTCTGCCTCAACCAGCCCCCAGCCCACTTCCTACAGGAAGGCCTCTTCCAGCTCACTGTAGCACATCGCTGGTGGACAACACTGGATCCTGTTCTCTGGCCTCCCCCAGGAGACTGAAATCACCTCCAGGCATGGAGGGGATGTGCATGGGGAAGGCAGGAGGGGCAGGGCTGTGTTTGGGTCTCACACTGTGAGAATGTGTCGGGGGGCGGGGGGGGGGGCATGGGGGCGGGGAACCAGTGCTGAGGTATAGCAGGTTAAGCATCGGTCTGTGCCGCTGGCATCCCATATGGGCGCCAGTTCAAGGCCCGGCTGCTCTACTTCTGAGCCAGATCCCTGCTGATGGTCTGGGAAAACAAGATGGCCCAAGTGCTTGGGTCCCTGTACCGGTCTGAGAGACCCAAAGGAAGCTCCTGGCTTTGGATCAGCTCAGCTCTGGCCGCTGCAGCCATTTGGGAAGTGAACCACCAGATGAAACCTCTCTCTCTCTCTCTCTCTCTCTCTGTAACTATGCATCTCAAGAAAATAAATTAAAAAAAAAAAAAAGGGAAAAATAGGCCAGCACCGTGGCTCAATAGGCTAATCCTCCACCTGCGGTGCCAGTACTCCAGGTTCTAGTCCCAGTTGGGGCACCGGATTCTGTCCCGGTTGCCCCTCTTTCAGTCCAGCTCTCTGCTGTGGCCAGGGAGTGCAGTGGAGGATGGCCCAGGTGCTTGGGCCCTGCACCCCATGGGAGACCAGGAGAAGCACCTGGCTCCTGCCATCGGATCAGCGCAGTGCACCGGCCGCGGCAGCCATTGGAGGGTGAACCAATGGCAAAAGGAAGACCTTTCTCTTTGTCTCTCTCTCTCACTGTCCACTCTGCCTGTCAAAAAAAAAAAAAAAAAAAAGGAAAAAATAACTTAAAGAATGGGCAAGACTGTGAGAGGTGCCAGGACAGCTTTCGCAGAAGCAGGGATCTCGTTTATTCCCGACGCACCTCAGCAACATACAGGTCCTGTCATAGAGCCCCAACTGAAGACGCGCTTGCTAGGGAGCACGTGACAGAGGGCAGCAGAGAGAGGAGAGCGCAGGAACAAAGTGCGAGGGAAGCCAGGGGCTCCGGAGGGCTGGCACCCCAGCAGGAAAGCAAAGGGACAGTGGCGGAAGACACAGCCCAGTCTGATCATGAATGAGCTGCAGTGGTGAGGAGATTGGGCAGAGGTGGTTGGGCTGTGTGTTGGGAACTCTGGCTGGGAACACAAGGACTGGGGGTCGAGTCAGGAGGCTGCAGCCCACCTGGGAGAGGGACTCCATCCCCTAATGCCTGGCCCAGAACCCCAGCTGCTTAGAGCAGGAGGGGCCCTCAGAGAGCAGGGTTGCAGGTGCAGCCCTTCTACGGGGCTGAGTCAGGACCAGGAGTCAGGCTGCTGGGTGGGCTTTGCAGAAGAGGTGGAAGTACTCTGGATCTTGAGGGACAGGAAAGGTTTATATAGTCAGAGAGAAGGGGAGAGGACCAGCAGGGAGCACACCTTGGGCCTAGTCTATGAGGTAGGAAGACCTTGAGACTGAAATCCCACCTGTGTGGGGCCCCCCAACACCCCTTCCCCTTGCTGTACCCACCGGCTCTTGTAACTGTTGAGAGCGTTGAGGAGGTGCGGTCCTCGATCCGTCACGGGGGTGCTGGTCAGCTAAGGGGAGCAGGGCAGTCAGACCCAGGCCCCTGGCGTCCGGGGAGGTCCAGCCCCTACCCCTTCTTTACTCCATGACCTCAGAGAAGTCTTCTCACCTCTCTGAGCTCATTTCCCTATCCGCAAATGGAGAGGAAAACTCTTGGCTTAAATGTATGAAGAGCTAGAAAAACATCCATGCCCTTGACCCCTGATGCCACTCCGTGGACTCTGGCACAACTGCATATGGAACAAACCTGCACAAGTGTTCACTGTGGCCTTGCTGCTAATGCTGGGCAAAATGGTAAAGAAACTCTGTGTCCCACAGCAAGGAGTCAAACCATGATGGAAACCGAAGCAACCATTAAAAGTTATGCAGACTTGAGTAGTGTGGGGAAGCGACGACTTCAAACTACAGACTAAGCCACATGCAAAGAAAAAATATGCATGTAGCAAGACTGGAAGGAAACATTTCTCATTGTTTCTACGTGGTAGGATGTGGGAGTATGGATGTTTGGAGTACACCGCCTTCTGCCTTTTGGCACATTAAATAGTTTCTACCAGGACATGTATGATCTTTTATAAATATGACAAGTTGAAATTTAAAAATGCCAACTCTGCCTACCTTTTAAGGGCATATAATAAATATATCTTATAAATGTTCAAGCATTATAAATGAAGACATTTAAAAACATAAAGATTAATTTTATTTAAAAAGATTTCATGTTTTCCCTGATCAGGGATAACTAATAGAGTACCTATGTAATACATTAGAGTGAAATGGACATCGAGATTTGATGATTGTTCACAGCCCTTGTGTCTTCTGTTGAGCAACAGTGTTGTTGAACTCTTTTACTTAGTGTAGGGTTAAACTTATAATTATTAAGTAAACTGAAAGTAGATCCCTGTAAAAATTAAGAGTGGGAATGGGAAAGGGAGAAGGGTGGGCAGCAAGTATCACTATGTTTCTAAATCTGTACATATGACATAAATGAAACTTGTATATCTTAAATAAAGTTAAAAAATTATAATGTTGCACTTTTATACTTTTAAGAAAGAAAAAGTATCTGCTAATTAAGTATAAATGTTTATCATACATTTTATGTATATACAAGTCTATGAAATAAAATGTAAATAAATTAAAAACATTCTCAAAGGATTTGCAGCAGTAGAGACGATGCCTCACTCTGCAGGTGGTGGAGAGGATCCTTAGGATGTCACTAGGGCTGAGGGGTCCAGCCCCGGTGTGGGAGTGACCGGGAGGGCTCACCCCCGGAGCTACACTGACCACGGGCAAGTCGCCCTCCAGCTCTGAGCGTCTGCAAGTCTGTTACTTTGTTCTGTAGATCTGAGGCTCCCCTAGTGATGTTCTATTCAGAACAGAATCAGTAGGGGGCAGGCCCACTTCACTTTCCACCTAGCCAGGAAGTCTGGAGTGGGCCAAACACCTTGACCCATGGCCCTGGCTCCCCCAGGCTGAGTTGGTGAGGCCCCACCCTGCCCACTCAAAATCTAGGGTCAGGAAACCCCTTCCAGGGTACAAGCTCCAAGGCCTGGACTCAGGGATGCAGCAGCTTGAGGGTGAAACTCAGAGACCTACATCTTCTGGGCCCGTCCCGTGTGACCCCAGGCGAACCTCTCTGACTGCCACTCAGACATCCCGTGACCCTGCCTACCTTGCCAAGCTGTAGGAGCTCCCAGTGGTGGTTGACAAAGGCCAGAATCTCCTCGAAGTCAAAGTACTTCTTCTTGCTTTGCACCCCCAGATTGTAGAGGGCTAAGTGAACCACGTCCACCCTGGGCAAGGTGGCAAAGAGGTGGAGCCAGGTGAGGTGGCAGCCTGTGCAGCCAGGGCCACAGCCTCCTGGGTCCAGGCTGAGGATGGGGGGCAACCTGCAGGCAGGCGGAGGGAGGGGAGCTGCAGGGAGTGAGCAGGGTGGGTCTAGGCCAAGCACTACCCTCTCACCATCGCAGGGGCAGCCGCTCGATGTATTCTGGGCCCTGGTTACACACGGAGCAGAAGAACAGGTAGAACCTGTGGGTGGGTGGAGAGGGACCCTGTGGTGGGAGGGACTCTGACAGCCCACCCTAGGCTGACCTCCTGGCCCCCTTGGATCTACCTCACCTTCCCACAGTCAGTGCCCTCTCTCTTGGGTGGTAAGGATAGGGCAGAAACCAGGAAGTACTCTCCCACCCCAACCTCCCCTCCCAAATATCATTGCTCTGGGCCAGAATGGGCTGCAGCGATCACCTTCTTCCCTCTGAGAGACAGAGACACCAACCAAAGGACACGTAACATCAGCTTTCACATGTACAATGACTTCCATTAGCTGAACCCCACTGGTTAGAAGCTGAACCAAGTTATCCACTTCCCACGTGGCCTCTACAACAACCCTGGGTAGGGTCAGAGAAGGGCTGTGTTGCCCTCCTTCCCCAGACACTTGAAGGGAAGGGTCTTAGGGAAGGCAGGGGTTTGTGTCAGGTACTTCACGAATCAATGGCAGCTAGGGCTGTGGCCCAGCTCAGCCAGGCCTCCCCTCCCTGAGCTGCCCCCAGTAGACAGGTCAGCACTTCCAATGTGTGGGGCCTGCCGGGCCACCAGAACGCATTGCTGCTGCCAATTTACTGTTGCGCACCTCACCCTCAGGGGCCCAGCTGGACCAAGTCAGCACCTACCGGTCTCCAAACATCATGGGCTCATTGAGGCACTGGGTGCAGGCCTCATGGAACCACTGCCTGCACCGGTAGCATTGCAGCATCCGCAGGTACCACCTGGAGAGACAGAGCCAGGCTGAGCCTCAGCAACCTTTCCCGACATCAACTCACCGTCCCCCAGCAGAAAGAGAAGAGGACTCTCAGCTCTCGAGCCAAGCACAGACTTCTCTCCTTTGAGCTCACTATCTGGTTAAAGACAAGCCATGGCCGGTGCTGCAGCTTACTAGGCTAATCCTCCTCCTTGCAGCACCAGCACACCGGGTTCTAGTCCTGGTCGGGGTGCCAGATTCTGTCTGGGTTGCCCCTCTTCCAGCCAGCTCTCTGCTGTGGCCAGGGAGTGCAGTGGAGGATGGCCCAAGTGCTTGGGCCCTGCACCCCATGGGAGACCAGGATAAGTACCTGGCTCCTGCCATCGGATCAGCACGGTGCGCCGGCCACAGCACGCCAGCCGTGGCGGCCATTGGAGGGTGAACCAACGGCAAAGGAAGACCTTTCTCTCTGTCTCTCTCTCTCACTGTCCACTCTGCCTGTTAAAACAAAAAAAAAGACGAGCCACTGACTCCCATAGTGCAGCTGGGTCACAGGCTGCCCTTGCTCCAGGTCGTTTAGAAAGCAAGTGACAGGCAGTGATTCTGCCGTCTTTAACGTCTAAGCCCAATCTCTTCTTCCTGCCCTGCCACAGTGGTGGACTGTGCCCCACCCGCTGCTTCCCAGACATCACTGGCAGGCAAAGGTTTGCCTGCAAGACCTCACGGAGCATGAGTGACAGCTCCTCTAAGCTACACGGGGGCGGGTTTTTCTCATCTGGTACTATATCTACTCTACCAGGACCATTCAAGAAACACAGAATACGAACCAAGTGCAACGCAGCACTCCCTTAAGAACAATCAGTGCTTTGTGCACACCCTGTCAGGTGCAGCCCAGGTTAAAATGCAGATTCCTTGGTCCTCTTCAATGTGTGCCCACTGAGCGTGGAGAAGCACTGCTAGTGTCAAGGTGCCTTAGGGAAGTGGTGCCTGCCTCTGCAATTCCTACCTACTGAAGTCCCACTCAGGGCGTGCAAAATCTATCCACGGTGGTAGGAAGAGAGAAACAGAGACAGGAAAACAGCCCAAGAGAGGGCCATCCTGGGACCAGGGTCCCCCAGGTAGAGAAATCAGCCCCCTGGTTACCCAGACTCCCAGCTGTATCCAGTAAGCATCTCTCCGTTATCCCCCTAGGAAGCTGACGGCCCTGAGGTAACTGAGCCCATTTAAGCGAGTTGCCCAAGTTCGCCCGGCTGAGCTAGGAGGCTCCAGGTCTTTAGTGCGCATTAGCAGAGCCTGGGTCACAGATTCACGACTTCAGCAGCTTTTAAGGGCTGTTTCCTTAGGGGCAGAAGCCCTTCCTCTTATTCTGTGGTTCTTCCACCAGGCTTGTGCGTCAGCCCGAGAGAGCAGACTCAACTGCCCATGGCGACGTGGAGGCCCAGGAAAGTCAGGGAGAATCAGACTCTGGTCCCACGGCCAGGACAAGACCCCCTTCCACGGCAACCCCAACACAGGACGCTCAGCCCCCACCCCCACGCCCCGGGGGCCTGCACATCTCTAGGGCCGAGGTTCTTAGTACCTCACCAGAAGCCTGGTTCACAGGCTCCGGCCACGAAGAGGTGATCCCAACTTGCATGCATTAGTAACCACGACCACCACCGCCACCAGTGAACAGCTCACACCTCTGAAGTGCTTACCAAGTGCCAGGCACTGGCTAACAAGGGACAATCCAGGATTTGGACGTCCGGGGAAGTCGGGACAGCGTGTCCGGCCTAGGCTCCTAACCACGCTTCAACACCTCCTCTCCCACGGGGCTCCATCCCAACCCGCTGCCCCGGAGTGCGGGACGCCACCTAGAGCCCGGTGCGTGGGTTTTTTATCTCCCAGCTCTCCCGGTGAGTGCCCTGGGCACTGCGCCGAATTCTTACCTTCAAGGCCCGCCCTTGGAGGCCCGGCCTCCTCAGACCCTTCCCAGCGGCCCACACTCAGGGCCCGCCCCTCGCCACCCCGCCCCCGCGACCGACACCCCGAGTCCGTCCCTCGAGGCCCCGCCCCCGAGGTTGACACTCCGAGTCCGCCCATCTAGGCCCCACCCCTGCGACCGACACCCCGCCCGCGAAGCCAACACCCCGAGTCCGTCCCTCGAGGCCCCGCCCCCGAGGCTGACACCTCGAGTCCGCCCATCTCAGCCCGGCCCTAGTGCTGACACTCGAGGCCCCGCCCACTCGGCCGACACCCCGCCCCCGAGGCTGACACTCCGGGTCCGCCCATCTCGGCCCCGCCCCCTAAGCTGGCACTCGGGTCCGTCCCTCGCGGCCCCGCCCCCAGGGCTGGCACTCCAGGTCTGCCCCTAGCGGCTCCGCCTCAGACACGCCCCCTCGGAGCCCCGCCTCCACCGTCTCGGCCCCGCCCGCTCCCCGGGCTTCTCCCAGGGGCCTTACTCTCCCGGGCCGCCGCAGTAGCAGTAGCACTGCTGCTGGTTGGTGCGGTGGGGCGAGTCCCATTCGAGCTCCTCCGGCTGGTAGGACAGCACCATCTTCACGGCCTGCAGCGTCCTGGCAATGGCGCCCTTTTTCAGCGCGCCGCCTTTCTGGGGGTGGGGGGAGAGGGCCGGAGTCACCCCCAAGGTGCCTCCGAGGAGATGCTGCCGGCGTGAGACAAACTGGGGGCCTGTTTCTCACACACCCCCAACCCATGGTATCCGGGAAGGCTCTCCGCTGCAGTCAACAGTGATCCGGGCAACCAGGGAACCACTGGCAGTGTGCGCCGAGTGTGGGCGCCCCCCCCCCCCGTGAACTTTCTCCACCTTGGGAGGACTGCCCCCTGACCCATGCCCATGTTGCAGCGGGGGAAACTGAGGCACGGCACAGCCAGAGGGCCGGGCCAAGGTCGCGCTGCCCTGAACCCCCTGCTTGGCCCTTCTGTGGGGAGCTGGGGGTCTGCGGTGCGGAGGGCTGGGAAGAGGGCTCACCCGCACAGCCAGCGCGAAGATGCAGCGCCGGCAGAACCAGGGCGTGAGCAGGGGCCGGTCCGTGCTGCCTGCAATGGGGATGTGGCACTGCTGGTGGTAGCCTGTAGCAGAGGAGGGGGCGGTGAGTGCCGGAGAGGAGTGGTGGCTCCAGGCCAGCTGGTCGCAGGCGGCAGGGCTGGCTGGGCTGTGGCACCTCCTACCAGCTCTGCCTGTCAGTTACGGGGGGTGGGGGGGCAGGCTGGGAGGCCATGTCCCAAGATGGCCAAGCCGCTGTCCAGTTTGGGGACTAGAAGACAGCATTGGCCAGTGGAGAGACACTTGGCTTCAGCACCTCGCCCCCACCCCTGGGCCTCCCTTGCAGAGATATGAGCTCCCACCCCTTCACTCTGGATTCCAGAAGGCCTGCTGAGGCCCCGACAGTCTGGAGCAGTGCCCTGCAGGGCCAGTGCAGGAAGCAGGGGACCCCCGGGTGGCCTGCCCCCCCACTCACCCAGGCCACACTTCCCACAGATGAGGATCTCATTCAGTGGTCCCGAGGTCTTCCCCAGGCAGATGCTGCACTTGGGCTCCTCCCCTGGGACGCCGGCTGGAAGAGAGGCCGTCTCCGGTGAGGTCTGCTTCCCAGGGACAAGGGGTTTGAAAACTGTAGCCCCGTTGGGGTGCTAGGCCTACTACTGGGTTCCATCTGCCACCTCGCAGAGTCTCACAGAGCACACTGAGATGTCTGTTAACACCTCGTTCTCAAACAGGGGAGACCCACCGGAGAGGTGAGGTCCCTCACTTAGCTTAGTAAGTGAAGGGGCAGGACTCAAACTATGGCTGTTTGCCATCAGATCCTTTGTCCTTTCAATCACATCGTGCTCCCGCTCCTGCCCAATTTAGCTCCTTTTGTTTTATATTAAACAATGCTAAACATGTATTATGGAGGCGTTTGGCATAGTGGTTAAGACACCCATGCCCCGAATCTGAGTGCTTGGGTTCGAGTCTCAGCTCCACTTCCAGCTCCCTGCCAATGCACACTCTGGGAGGCAGAAAGTGATGGCTTTAGTAGCTGGGTCCCTCCACCGCCCAACCCTGGCCATTGTGGGCATCCAGGGAGTAAACTAGCACATGGGAGCTCACTCGTTCTCTCTCTCTCCTTCTCTCTTCCCCTCTTAAGTATATTAAAAAAAAAAAAAATATTGGAATAATAATAGGGTACTATAATGAAACTCCATGTTCTCATCAGCAATTATGAATTCATGGCCAGTCTTGTTTCAATTATATTCCTCCCAACTTCTCCCTCCTGTAATTATTTTGAATCAAGTCCCAGATACGTAATCATTTTTCTCTAAATATTTCAGTATGCATCTCTCTGAAGGACGAGGGCTCTAACATAGCTACATTCCTTTATTGTACCTAAAAGTTAACATTAATTTTTTAATATCAACAAATTCAGTGAGTGTTCACATTTCCACCTGTCTCTTAAATTAAAATATTCTAACAATTTTAAGTGTGTTCTTTTTGAATCAAGATCCAAATAAAACCCACACATGGTGACTGGCCAATATGCTTTTACAATTGTTTTTAATTTACTGGTTCCCTCTTGCTCTTTTTCTTTTTTTCTTCTGGGAAGAATAGATATGTCTTTATGTGTGAAAGCTTTAAATGTATACATTAAATACATTTTGATGGGTGCTTCTGTCTTATTTTCCCAGCGGGCTAAATTATCTTAAAGGGCAGAAATGATGTCTCTTCCAGTCTGCAGCCCTGGTGCCTCATACTGAGTGGCACACAGCAGGTGTGGGACCTTGCCCCTTATTTCCCAATATGACCCCAGGAAATCGGAGTTACTGAGTAGGGTCCTAGCTGGCTTAATGAAGCAACAGATCCATAACTAGGGCAGTGACCAGCCATATGCACTCATCCTGGGAGACGCCAGGGCGCCACTGATCTGCCCGGAAGGAGCAGTCACATGGCTGGAGAACAAGTTGTCTCCCTACACCCCCGTGGTGCCTGGCACCCGGTGGGCCCTCAACATCAGATCTTCTCCGGCTGGTAACCAGCACAGGGAATCCTTACTGCTTCGGATCCTCAGATCATAAATGTAGGGCGAGAAGGGCTTGGAGCAGGACTAGTCTGCACTGGCCACAGTTTCTTGGAGAAAGGGACTATTTGAAAGCTGTTCTAACTGGCTGGGTTCTGTGGCCTCTCCTTGGCAGGCTTCCTGGAATCATCTCTTACGGTAACACATTCTTCAGAAATTGCTTCCCTGTAACTCAATAGCACTGGGATAAGCACTTTACGTGGATTATCTCATTTAATCCTCCCAACCACCCAACGAAGCCAGGACTTTCACCACCTCCTTTCAGATGAAGAAAGAGACGCAGAGAGGTTATGTTACTTGCAGCCCCCAAGTGGCAGGGCCAGAACTTGGTGCACGGTCTCTCTGGCCCTAGGACCCGCCTCTGCCTTCCAGAGGGAACACAGGTTTCTTCTCTCTCTCTTTTCTTTTCCTTTTTTTTTAAAGAGTGGACAGTGAGAGAGAGAGACAGAGAGAAAGGTCTTCCTTTTGCCGTTGGTTCACCCTCCAATGGCCGCCGCGGCTGGCATGCTGCTGCCGGCGCACCGCGCTGATCCGAAGGCAGGAGCCAGGTACTTCTCCTGGTCTCCCATGGGGTGCAGGGCCCAAGCACTTGGGCCATCCTCCACTGCACTCCCTGGCCACAGCAGAGAGCTGGGCTGGAAGAGGGGCAACCAGGACAGAATCCAGCACCCCAACCGGGACTAGAACCCGGTGTGCCAGCGCCGCTAGGCGGAGGACTAGCCTAGTGAGCCGCGGCGCCGGCCGGTTTCTTCTCTCATGCCAACTCTGGTAGCGCCTGCTCGGGGATCCACGTTGAGAATCTATGAGTGTTGTGACAGCTGCTCAGGTCTGTCGTGTGCATGGGGAGGGAGAAGGGTGGCCCGTATGCCCCTGGTCTGCCTCCTCTGGAAGACAACCTCAGCTCTCTGCAGGCAGGGATGGTGCCTGGACCCAGGTCGCTCTGCATCCTGGCTCCACTGGGCTTCGCCATCTCTACTCTGTCTTCCTCTGCTCTCTTTCTGTGTGCCCCATGCTCAGCTCCCCGCCCCGGGATAGAGCTGCCTCCGCCAGGTTTCTTCACATGTTGATAGGGGAACACTGCTCAGATCCCCCGGTGACCATTCTGATCAACAACCTCTTCCTCGCTCCCATCCTGGCCCAGAGCAGGAGAGGAAGTGCGGCAAGGAAGCAAACACAGGCCTGAGACCCAGGGCCACTGTCCTGCCACTCCAGGGGACAGCAGATGTCTCACGGCCAGTCATCTGACCACCATCTCAGGGGGGTGGGGCTTATGGGCAAAGGGCAGATGCCAGGAATAAGAAGGGGGGAGTGAGGGGGAAATGCAGAAGCCAGCAGAGGAGAGAGACCCCGGGGAAGGAGGGGTCCCCGAAAGGTTAGCACACTCACCATGCTGTATGTCCTTCCACAGGACCCAGTATTTGGAATTATCTTCAAAAGTCACCAGGCAGCTTTGCTTGGAACTGCTGACCTGGGGCACAGAGAGGGGGCGGTGTGAGCAAAAGGGCCGGACAAGGCTGGACTGGGACGCAGTCTTCCTCTCCTCGGGCTCCAGAAAGCAGGGAGCAGGGCAGCTCCTGGAGGGAGGTGCACTCCTGGCCACTGACGTTGTACACTCAGGGACTGGGGTGGGGGCGACACTTGGTAAGAGTGCTGAGAACAGAACAGGCCAGGGGGCTAGCGTGGTGGTGTAGCAGGGAAAGCCACTGCCTGCAATGCCGGCGTCCCACATGGGCTGCCTGCTCCACTTCTGATCCAGCTCCCCTGCTAATGGCCTGGGAAAAGCAGCAGAAGATGGCCCAAGTGCTTGGGCCCCCGCCTCCCTCGTGGGACACTAAGGAGGCAGATGGTCGTCCGTGCTGAAAGCACACAGAGCCTTTTCTAAGGAACTGCTTGGCTGACGTTGGTGCTAAGGCTGGTTGGTGCCTGCAAGGCCAGGCTCCAGCTCCTCTTCCTTTTGGGCAAGAAGGCCCACCAGGGCATTTCCCATCAGCCCCCCTTCCTTGAGCGCTGCTCTGAGGCCAGGCCAGGGGACGAGCAGAGAGACGCAGAGCCCCAGGCCTGAGAAGAAAGGTTTACCCTCTTGATCTTCCCGAGGTAATACAGGCCATCTGTCCAGCGGCACAGCACGTACTGGCCCTCCGTCAGCTTGGACATCAGGTCTTTGAAGTTGTTCTGGGCCTTCGCCAGGGCCCCCTTTTTGGGGAGGTGGCTGGTGACACCATAGGAGTCCCGAGTCCCTGGCTCCAGAGCCCGAGTCTCCATCAGCCTCTGCTGACACTGGGACAGAAAGAGAAGAGAGTTTTTACTTCTTGCTTCCCGGCCCCAGACAGCCTCTAGGGAAAGGAAGGGAGCTGTCATTTCTGTTCCATGGGCTGTGTGCCACACGTGCCTAATAGCTCACCAAATCCTCATGACAACCCTGTGAGGGGGACGTTATTATTCCCACTTTTCAGAGGGGGAAACTGAGGTCTGGCAAGGAGAAGTGGCTGACGGGGCAGAGGCAGAGCCATGGCTCACAGCCAGGGGAGCGGATTCTAAGTCCTGCTCCCTCCTCACCTAAACCCCATGCCTTCTATAGTGGTTCCCTCTGCCCACATGCAGCCAAGTCCCTGGCTGGGGGCCTGAGCCACTCCCTGTCCCAGGAGGCCTCTGGGTGGAGGGCCCTCTCAGGCAGCGGCTGGAGAGTTTTCACACCCTCTCCTCCGACCCACTCGCCCACTGAGATCTTTCCAGAGAACACTCACCTTGAAAGGAAAACTCCTGGTGACTTGTGAACCGCCACCTGAGGCTTTTGTAATCCCCTTTCTGTTCTCAATTATGGGATGGTTTAATGGAAACCAGTTCTGGGGCATTTAAACCCGCTGGTGCTTTCCCCCAGATGCAGATCTTCTCCGAGCTGTCAGGGCATCCCCACACCAGCCTCTCCCTGCCTGTCTCTCGGCTTCCCTTAGATGCCTGTTCCCGGACTTGCCTTCACTCCCTCCCTCCGTCTCAGCACAGCCAGGGTCCTCACAAGCCCCATGCATCTCTGACTTCTCCAACCAACGGGCTCCCAGAGCCGGCCAAGTTCAAGCCCAGTGATTTCTGGCATCCATGCCCTTTTAGTCATCCTCGGCCCTGGTTTGAGATGGGGCTCCCTCATCTTTGCTTGACCCATCCATCCATCCATCTCTCCATCCATCCCTCCATCCATCCATCCATCGACCCATCCATCCATCCATCTCTCCATCCATCCCTCCATCCATCCCTCCATCCATCCATCTCTCCATCCATCCATCCATCCATCCATTCCTCCATCCATCCATCCATCCATCCATCTCTCCATCCATCCATCCATCCATCCTTCCATCCATCCATCCTTCCATCCACCCATCCATCTCTCCATCCACCCCTCCATCCATCCCTCCATCCATCCCTCCATCCATCCATCTCTCCATCCACCCATCCATCCATCTCTCCATCCATCCCTCCATCCATCCCTCCATCCATCCATTCCTCCATCCATCCATCTCTCCATCCATCCATCCATCCCTCCATCCACCCATCCATCTCTCCATCCACCCATCCATCCATCCATCTCTCCATCCACCCCTCCATCCATCCCTCCATCCATCCATCTCTCCACCCATCCATCCATCCACCCATCCATCCCTCCATCTCTCCATCCCTCCATCCATCCATCGACCCATCCATCCCTCCATCCACCCATCCCTCCATCCATCTACCCATCCCTCCCTCCCTCCTTCAATACCTGTTTCCTGAGCCTTGTGCTCGCCTTGTGCTAGGGCGGAATGGTACCGCTGGCACCGAGGGCTGCACGGGAGCCCCTCCCCCCAGACTTCCACAGGGCTACCAGCTCCCTTCCAGAAACCTGCCGGGGCTCCCCCAAACCCCCTCCTCCCCTCTGGGGGCTCACTTGGCTCCATGTCCCTGCACGCCCTCCCCACCACAGCCGGAGGCCCCCGCTCGCTGTGCCCTGCGTGCACTGCGCCGTCTTCCCCCTTAGCAGTGATGCCGGGCACCTGGCGTCCCCTGTGGGTACGCGGGTGTACTCCTGCGAGCCCGCGTAGACCGCTGTTACAGCCGTCAGCCGATGAGGCGTGAAACTACAGACGTGTGTGTGTGTGTGTGTGTGTGTGTGTACACACGCGCGCGCATGAGGGGCTCTGGGGCCGGTAGGGCCCTGCTGGGGGCTCCCGGGACCGTGGCGTGGCCGGGTTCCCCGGCACGGCGCTCTCGCTCCGCTCCTGTCTCCAAGGCTCTGGGCAGGGGACGCGCTCTGAATCCCTGCTCGCTCCCCGCCACCTGGCTCCCCTGGCGCGGGGGCAGGGGCCCGGCCGCGGCAGGTTCACAAACTGACACTTCCTCCCCCGCTGCGCCTTGGGAGCCGGCCCGGTCGCCGCGCCGCCCTCCCCGCCGGGCGGGGGCCCCCGGGTGGCGGCCCCCAGCCCGCCCGCGTCCTCCCGGAGCGGGCCCCCGCGGGCTGTGATTGGCTGATTCAAACCCGTCGGCAAAGCAGTGCCTGTTTGCGGGTTCCCGTCGGCGTCCAGTTCAAATCCGCGGCGCCCGGAGCGCTGGGCCGGGCGGGGGCAGGAAGCGAGATGATTCATGCGCCGGGGCCTCTCCCGGGGCGGCCGTTGGCTTTTTTAAAAAGGGTGTTAAGGCGGGGGGGCCAGGCTCGCAGGAGGACCCCCTGCGGTGCACGCGCTTCTCTCTGCGGGCGCTCCCCGCCCCGGTCCGCCGCAGCGGGACTTCGGACGTGAGCAAAATCCCAAACGTCCCCTTCGGTCCTCCCCTCCAGCCCCCGACAGCAAGGGACGAGGCTGGGGGCCAGTAACTGCGACCTGTCACCCACGCCCTCCCCACACGGCTCGGGCCCGGGTGGGCACCGTCCATCGCCACCCCCCACGCCCTGCGCGCCGCTCTGCTGGGCTCCGTGCCCCCCGCTAGAGTGCGGGGAGAGTCCGGGGAGCGCTGGAGGAGTGCGGGCGGGGAAGGTGCGTCGGAGCGTCCCCGCCCGGGCCGCCGCCGCGGCGCCACTTACCGCGGGGCTGCGTGTCCGCCGGTCCCACTTGGAGTCTGGCCACCAGGCGCATCGGCGGCGGAGGCGGCTGCGCGCGGCCCGCGGCTGCCTGGCCGAGTGTCCGCCCGTGGGGCCGGGGTCGGGGTCTCGGCGGGGGCGGGGCGGGGCGGGGGCGCCGCGGGGAGGAGGGGGAGGCGGAGGAGGGAGGGGCCGGGGCGCTCAGGAAGGGGCCCCCCGGGCGCGGGGCGCCATCTTTTTCGCGTTTTCCCGCGAATTATTGACGTCCCGCTTATGTAATTAGCAGGGGCAGCGCCGGCCTCGCCATTGGAGCCCGCGGCCGCCGGGCCCCGCAGCGCCGCCCGCCCGCGCCAGCCCGCTCCCGCCCCCGAGCCGCCCCCGGGTCCCCGCCCGCCGGCCCTGGGCGCACAGGGACGCGGAGCCCGCGCCCGACCCGGGCACACAGGGAAGCGGCCGCGCGCGCGGGGCCCAGGCGCACTGCTGCCCCGACACGCAGATACAAGGCCCGGGACGCGCAGCACCTTGCGCTTTCCGCAGCCACTCTCCGTAGAGAGAGCGTGAAATAGCGCGGGGCGCCCCCCACCCACACTGTGCCCGGAGCGCGGACACACGTCACGGCACACCGCGTCCGCCGCACGGACCTGGACCCGGGGTGGAGGGAGTCGCGGTCCGCACTGGGAGGGCACACGGACGCACGCGCGGACAGGTACCGGGCGCCTGGCATGGACACACGGAATGCATCAGGCACCCAGAGAAGCAGCAGACACTGCGCCCACAAGCACAGTTTCTGAGTAAACGGCTCCCCAGGGACAGACCACAAACACAGTCACAGCCAAAGGGGCTTGGGGGGCAAGGGGCAGGGCTCCAATCAGATAAAGTCCCTGCCCCCTGGCGGAGAGGCAGACAAGTCCCCAGCCAGACTCCCTCTTGGGGGGCGGGGGGGTGCAGGGGTGGTGAGAACACTTGCTGACATCCCCTCCTCCCAGCCCTGCCATCTGTCCCTTGCGCCGCCCCCCCCCTCCACCAACCCCTGGGCCATCACACTACAGACGCCACAAGAGAGGGGTGTGTGCATTGTGGGTGTGAGCAGTGGACAGCACTTCCCCACCCCCCAGAGTTCAGTCTGGCCGCTGTCAAGTGGCCCGCCCTTGGCCATCTGCCTCCTGGCCTTGGGGTGTGGTCTGTCCAGCTGGCCTCACTGATTAGCCTGGCTTTCCCAGCCTGAGTTCCCCACTTGCCTCCCTGCTGCCTACCTCCTACCCCTCCTGCCTTACTGTCCCTTTCTGGGTCCTTGAGCCAAGGCAGAACCTTGTAGTCCTGAGCACCTGCTTGCACTCTGCCTGAGCTTGGACAGAAAGCTGGGAGCAGCCCCACCAGACAGGCTCCCAGTCTGCAAAGGCAGATCTCCAAGTCCCACATGGGCCTTCAGGAATGCGCTACTTAATCACGCTCTGCCAAGAACACGTGTCCAACTGGGGCAGAACTGATGACGGGAGCAAGGCTCTGCCACTGGCTTCCAGGCTGAATGGATCCCCCCTTTAGGATGCTGGGGGCAGAGGTGACAGAGGGAAGTGCCCACCTCTGAGGGTCACGGGCCAGCTCCACCCATTCCTGGCTGAGGGACCCTCAGAGGGTCACTTCAACTCTTCAGCCTGTCTTCCTCATCTAAAGAGAGCTGTTTAGAAGATGAGCTACAGATGCAAACCCCCGGGCGCCCAGTGGGTGTACAGAGGTGATTATTGAATTTCATCCAGAAACTGTTTCCAGTGTGTGGCTCCCCAATGTGGGACTAGAGCTGGGGGCTTGGGGCGTCCAGGGGAATAGGAGAAAAGCTGCCCTCAGTCTCACTGGGAGTCAGTGCTGGACGAGTAGCCACACACGTGTAAACAAGCAAGAAGGGGCTTGTGTAAGGGACTGTGCGTGGACACGGGGAGAGCTGGTTTTGAGTCCAGCTCACTTCTGAGCCGGTGTGAGAGCCGGGGTGAGTGAGTCCCCATTAGGCCAGGTCTCCCATCTGTTCAAAGGGGATCATGATCGGATCCCATCTCACAGGGCCACTGCACAGATAAACGATAACAGTTTTAACACGGTCATGAAGGAACCAGTGTTATTTTTAATTTTTTTTAATTTTAATTTTTTAAAAAAGATTTATTTATTTATTTGAAAGAGTTACACAGAGAGAGGAGAGGCAGAGAGAGAGAGAAAGAGAGAGGTCTTCCATCCACTGGCTCACTCTCCAACTGGCCACAACGGCCAGAGCTGTGTCGATCCAAAGCCAGGAGCCAGGAGCTTCCTCCTTGTCCTCCTACCGGGTGCAGGGGACCAAGGATTTGGGCCATCTTCTACTGCTTTCCCAGGCTGTAGCAGAGAGCAGAATCGGAAGAGGAGCAGCCAGGACCCGAACTGGTGCCCATATGGGATGCTGGCACTGCAGGCAGCAGCTTTACCTGCTACGCCACAGAACCAGCCCCAATTTTTATTTTTTTAAAGATTTATTTATTTGAAAGACAGACTTACAGAGAGAGGTAGAGACAGAGAGAGAGAAAGAGAGAGGTCTTTCATCTACTCGTTCACTTCCCAAATGGCTGCAATGGCTGGAGCTCAGGTGACCCAAAGTCAGGAGCCAGGAGCTTCTTCCAGGTCTCCCAAGTGGGTACAGGGGCCCAAGGATTTGGGCCTTCATCTACTGCTCTCCCAGGCACACTAGCAGGGAACTGGAGTGGAAGTGGAGCAGCCAGGACTCAAACTGGCGCCCATATGGGATGTCAGCGCTTCAGGCCAGGGCTTCAACTGATTTATTTATTTGAAAGGCAGAGTTACAGAGATGGGGGAATGACATCAGCTGGTTCATTCCCCAAACGGTCACAATGGCCAGGGCTATGCTAGGCCGAAGCCAGGAGCCTGGAGCTCCATTAGTATCTCCCACGTGGGTGGCAGGGACCCAAGCACTTGGGCCATCCTCCACTGCTTTCCCAGATGCATTCGCAGGGAGCTGGATCGGAAGTGAAGCAGCCGGGACTTGAACAGGTGGAGCAGGTGTTCTGTACACCAGAAAGTGGTATGCAAAAATGAGAAGCTGTTAAAACGCTATAAGACAGGAAATTGTAAAGCCACAAGAAATGTGTCATGTCATTAGTGCTTATTTAGGGGCTAAGTTTCATGGA